TTACTACAGTTTCATTTGGTCAAAAGAGTGCTCCATATCTGGCCTGTCGAGTTCTGAAGGACATTGCTCAAAATACATCTTGTTCAACGGCAGTGAAAGACACCCTATTATATCAGACTTATGTGGATGATATCTTATCAGGCTGTAGTACTGAAGAAGAAATCATTTCACTGCATCGTTCGTTAAGCTCTACTCTTTCATCCGCTGGCTTCAGTATACACAAGATCAGATCCAATTTATCTCTTGCTGCGTCCTCTGCAGAGTTTAGCAGCGCGTCAAAGGACATTCTTCCTGAAAAAGGGCCATGCAAGGTGCTAGGCATTAAGTGGGATCCCGCAACTGATGTATTCCAAGTTGCCATTCCAGAGTCGCTTACTGTTAGTTCACCTACCAAACGAAAAATTCTCTCTGTCATAGCGCAGTGCTATGATCCTCTAGGTTTTGTTAATCCTGTAATTGTTCACGGAAAAATTCTAATGCAACAAATATGGGCCAAAAATCTCTCTTGGGACCGCACTATAACTGATCCCGATCTTTTAGACAGTTGGTTTAAGTTCTTGTCAAGTTTAACAAACCTGTCCTCCTTCTCGATTCCTCGGTGCATAATAGATGTAAAAGACGTAGTAAAAGTCGAATTACATGGGTTTTGTGATGCCAGTACTCAGGCATATGGATGTTGCATGTATTTAAGAGCAGAATACTCAGATTCATCTGTGTCATCTACACTTATTGCTGCAAAATCGCGTGTAGCTCCAGTGAGGAAGCCTCTCACTATACCTAAACTAGAGTTATGTGCAATGGTTCTCTTAACCAGTCTTTACACAAAGCTTTATCCCATAATATCTCGTTCTCTTACCATTTCTGACAGTATCTTGTGGTCAGACTCCATGGTAGCTCTCTCTTGGGCGCACTCACCTCCCAAAAAATGGTCCACCTTTGTGGCAAACAGGGTGGAAATAATCCAAAACACTAACCCTTCCCCAAAGTGGAAGCACATAAAGTCTGAACTCAATCCCGCAGACCTCTTATCTCGGGGTAAGCTTTCAGATCAGGCCAGATCCTTCTGGGCATCTGGACCATCATTTCTACTTGATCTATCTAGCGATTGGTTTAAACATAGCTCGTTTGAGCTTATGGTCAATCTCCCTGAAGAAAAGAGAAGAGTTAATGTATGTACCAAAACTCAGGAAAATTGTTGGATCAAATATATAAACCGATTCTCATCATTCACTAAACTCATAAAATCCATGGCGTACATACGTCGGTTTGTGTACAATGCCCGACATAAAGACCGCTTATCTGGTCCTTTGTCTCCTAAGGAATTGCAAGATTCCAGACTATTCCTAATAAGTCAAGTTCAAGCCATTTTCTTTAAGTCCGAAATACTATCTCTGACGCAAGGTCGATTGTTACTTAATAAGCAAATTGCTTCACTGAATCCCTTCATTGACAGGTCCACATTACTTAGAGTAGGTGGTCGACTCAAGTATTCGGATGTACCCTTTGATCAACGACACCCCCTACTACTCCCTGTGCGTAATCACTTCACTAAACTTGCTCACCTCAGAGCATGAGTATCTGGGACATGCAGGATCTCAAACCACCTTAGCAATGTCCGCTTAAGATATTGGCCCCTTGACGGACTTAGGTGTGTAAAACGTATAATACACTCATGCAACACTTGCTTTAGGTTTAATGCCATCGCCTCAACCCAAATTATGGGAGATCTCCCTCGTGAACGAGTCACATTGAAAAGACCTTTTGAAAATACAGGAATAGATTTTGGAGGCCCCTTTTGCATAAAGTCCTCTTCCTTGAGAAGAGCCCCTATATCTAAAGGCTACATAGCATTATTTGTATGTTTAGCTACCAAAGCAGTCCATTTAGAAGCAGTGTCTGACCTCACGACAGACGCCTTCCTGACTTGTCTTAAAAGATTCATAGCTAGACGTGGTATCCCATCCATTATTTACAGTGACAATGGAACTAATTTTGTCGGTGCCAATAACCATCTCACTCTTCTTAGAAAACATTTCTCAACACAGCCTCATGTGTTTCACGAGTTTCTTGCTTCTCAAAATGTCACTTGGAAATTTATTCCTCCCAGATCCCCACACTGGGGTGGATTATGGGAAACCTCAATTAAAAGTGCTAAATCACTTTTGATTAAAATCACCGGTAACTCTGTATATACTTTTGAACAATTCTGCACTATTCTTGCTCAAGTAGAGGCCGTTCTTAACTCTCGCCCTCTATTCCCATTGTCTACTGATCCATTAGACCTACAGCCTCTTACTCCAGGACACTTCTTAATAGGTGCTCCCCTGTTATCTTATCCAGAGGTAGATGTTTCATGCACTCCAGATAATCGACTGAAGCACTGGCAGCAGTGCACTCGAGTTCAGCAACTCTTTTGGAAGCGTTGGACCTCGGATTACCTAAATCGGCTCCAAAACCGACCCAAATGGTTTCACGTAACTCCTAATATTAAAGTCGGCGATTTAGTATTGGTTAAAAACCTTGACTACCCTCCCTTACAGTGGCCATTAGCTCGGGTGACCGAAGTTTATGAAGGAAAAGACCACAACGTTCGAGCAGTTCAAGTTCGCACGAAAAGTGGAACGTTTATTCGCCCTATCACTAAACTGATCCCCTTACCTCCAGATGAGACCTCAACGCATGTTCTTGATCCTTCTTCCACCTTATAGTAAAAATAAGGCTACAAGATACTAGACATTTCTCTGGGGGGCAGTATGGTTGTAAACTGATTTTGTTTACAACCCTGTAATTTTCAAAATAGTATATTTCCCCCTGTTCATTAACTTTACTCCACCCTGTAGGCCAAGACGTTCATTCATTCCAATACATTACAAATAAATTCTAACGGTACTGGATAATCTCTAACGGTACTCGGACCCTATGAACAATTACTTAGTACCCGATTTAGGCGACCGATGGTCGAAGAAATATAAAGCCACTCTCTCTGTTAGCAACCCTCGCGGGAGAAGGATGTGCTTTTAATACTTAAATTTGTGAATTTTGTGAGTTGCGATTCTCAGAGCGTTCTCTCTCAAGTGTTTAACAATAAGGAAAGTTGTCTCCGCGATTGTGAACCATAACTTTGTGTAACATTTGTGTATATTATATATTGTACCCGTTATATATTGTGTTTTTGTGAGTATAGTACGTAGAGAAATAAATATTAGCTACAAGTTACTCGTATTATTTACGACAATAGACATCAAAATAATACAGTCCACTTAAAACCCCAGAGAATACCGGCGGTATAAGTTCATAGCAGATCAAAAGCACGTGGAATCACCACTAATTCCACCCCCAACGCCGGCATTTTCTCCAGACATATAATATATAGACTACGCAGTCCCCTATTCTCGCTATAGAATCGAGTGTCCGAAAGATCTCGGCTCAAGGTTGAAGGTATGTTTATCACAACAGCGGCGTGTTCATTTTTATGTTTAATGACAATAATTATTTTTTTAATTAAAATTAAATATTTATGATTTCTTTTTGCTCCCGTCTATAAGAGAACTAATTATATTGATAAAATAGTATGGCATTTTACTAAAATAGTAAGTAAATAACTCTCAACAATTTAAAATAAAATTTGCTTGTCACACAAAATGGAGAAAATGTTTTCATACGTCCATGATGTTTTCAAACACAAGATCAACTTCGTGATGCTTCGTAAGAAATCATGAACTTCGTGCATCTTCGTATCAAAACAATAAACAATAACAAAGGTATTCATGTTTTGGACACTTTTTAAAGCGTTCACCGAGTCTATATATTATACGTCATTGGGTCCGAACAAATGTTCTGTTAGAATACACGGAATTTAGGAGCAAACCTTTGAAATGTTCTGTTGGCATGAATGACAGAAGGTTGTCATGTCAATTAATTGTCATTAGATAAGTGAAGTGATGGTCATGTCCTTTTTTATATAATTGTAAATTGTAACATGTCTTTGAGATTACGCCTAATATAAAATAAAGTATTTTAATACATTTCCAAATATTATTTGAAGAACCTAACATGTTCTTCATAAAAACGCTTTATAATGCATTTATACAAATTAAATTAAACATATTGTGTATTTCTTTAAGTTAACATTAATAGAAATTTTTAAATATTATTTCTACGCGTATATAATAAAATATGTCTAGTGGCTGTAATGCCAGTGTACTCGGCAAAGTGATTCTAAAAAAAAACACACCTATTGCATAAATATTTCGTGTTGGTATCATGTGACGTCACGGGCTATGAGGCCGATGACGTCTATCGGGATGTAAATTACATGATGTGTACTTTTTTATAATTTAAAAAAGGCGTACATATAAAATAAGGGAAAACTGATATTAAAAAGGAAATGGCAACTAATATATCATCAAATATGACCTGCAAGAAGCTATAACGGTTAAACAATTTATTGTAGGAAGCAATGCAACAATAAAAGCATTATGCTACGCTACTAAAAGTCTTTAAATATATGGCTTAAATTCTTAAAAGCTTATGTAAAAACAACATCAACATTTATTTGCTCTTTCTATTTTTTTAATTTTGCGCCCTGAGATAGGCAACTAGAAATACAACAAAATGATGTCCAGATTTCTTCGTTTTTACAACTTTTTTTTCTTCTACCACACAAATTTAAAATATTGTTTGTTAATTCATAAAATTTCTTAATTTTTACCTCAAATTAAACAGTACTCAGTGATTATAAAAACCTAATTTGCCTTCTCTTTTTTCACTACAAATTAAAATTCAAAATAAAAAACTAGAACGCGTTATTTCCCAGATTAGATAAAAATCCAATTTCAAAATTTTTATGCATTTCAAAAATGATTATTAATGAATATTGAATTTTTTTTGGAAAGTCCGCCATCTAGAGATAAGTAGCAAAATTGACCGAAACACGTAAACTATTTATGTGCTTTCACGCTATTGGCTGGCAGAAAATCCCAATGACTTGAAGCCAGTATGTGGACAGTTGTTCAAAGAAGGATGTTGAGGTTATGTCCCTTTAGTGATTAACTAAAAAATATGTCTTTTATTTTAGTAAAGATCAAAAGACAGAGAAAGATAAAAGTCAATTTAGAAGTTTTAACATGAAGAACGGAACTGTAACCATTGTACTCAATGTAGTTTTATTTTTAATTGGCATGTAAGTAAAAAACATTAATTTTTATAGTGACAGTTATTGAGTAGTAAACATTTTTTTTCTATATCGGGCGAAATTAGAAAGCTCTCTTCAAATAAGCTCCTATTGTTTTCCAAAGTCTCACTATTATGTCTTTATAAATAGCTACTTAAGAGATTAAATATATTAGGTTTCAGTTGGGTGTTCCCTACTTGCAAAATCAATTGTATCATTAAAATATTCAGGGATTTGGGTATTTCCTTCGCTTTTGTAAATATTTTTACATGTTTACACTTTTAGTATTTGAATTTATGCGAACTTATCAGTTATTATTGAAGACAAATGTATTTTGTGTGATGTTTCTGTTTTTTAAACAAATTTTTATGTTGTAAACACATATGATCAAATTGAATCTGTTTTTAAATTCTTTAAATTACCCCATACTGTGTATTCCTGTATTTGATTTCTTATGGTGCTTTTATTTTCATTTTAAAATACATAGTATTTAAGATAAAGTCCTCCTAATTTGCATCTGTAGAATATGGCATAAAGGTCTCTTCTACAAACTGAAATTACAACTAACAAACCAACTATATTTTATACTTAAATCATATCTTACTGACTGTTACTTCCAAGTCAAAATTGAAGACTGCTACTCAAATTACCACTTCATATAATCTGGCTTACCTTAGGGTAGCATTTTGGGCCCATTTCTGTATCTGATATTTACAGAAGACATTCCAATCAGCAATGATACCTTTTTAGCTACGTTTGTCTCTGACACAGGAATCTTGGCAATGGATATTGACCTTAATGTAGCATCACAAAAAGTACAAAATCATTTAGATCAATTACAAAACTGGCTTAAGCAATGGAAGATCAGTGTTAATGCTAGCAAATCAGTACAAATTACTTTTACAACAAGAAAATCTACATATCCACAAGTTTATATTAATAATACTCCCATTACTATAAAATGAGTTGTCAAATATTTGGTATTATACCTGAATGAAAAACTTATATGGACAATGCACATTAAAACTAAAGATCTTAAACTAAAAAATATGAACTGGCTATTTAACAAAAGGTCTCAGTTATCTCTTGAAAATAAACTGCTTCTGTACAAAGCTATACATATACCAATGTGGGCATATGGAATAGAACTATGAGGCTGTAGTAAACCTTCAAATACGAAGATACTTCAAATATTCCTATTCAAAATACTCTGTATGATAAGTAAAGCTACATGGTATGTATCTAACCAAACACTTCACAATGATATGGATATCTCATTACTTAAGGACATAAGGATATAAATCACACCACTGATCACAAGAATGAACTGATAAATAATTTATTCACCCAACCACTTGCCAAAAGAAGATTGAAAAAGGTATAGCCAGAAGACCAATAATACTTAGAGAACCATCACTGGACGGTACCTAACTCACATTACTTGACTTACAGACTATTTACTTATTACTCTATGTATAGAGGGATTGTAAACATGCAATGTTACAATAAAAAAATTCTGCAAAACTAGGAATCAATTTGTATATGTATTTCTAACATGAATATATTATGTTAAAAAAATTTCTGTTCCGTATATTTATTGTTGTTGAATCTTGAGGAGCATCAGCTATAGTATACTAACAATTTTTATCAAATATAGTTAAGAATACATGCAACAGCAACAGAAAGTATGTAACTTTAAAAAGCACATCAAATCATAGAAACAATTTATTGATTTATATATTAAATCCTAAAATTATCTGTTTATTCAATCACACTATTTAATTATTATATGGATTGTCTATTAAAGCACTTAATGTGAGATTTTCAAACCAAAACATACTTTTTGGACTGTCACTCAGATTGTTTACACTAAGATTTAAAACTTTGTAAAAGATTTGTTAGCATTTGTGATTTCAAAACTTACTGTATCTTTTGTACATGAATTATGTGTCATTCCAAGACACAAAAAAACAAGGAGATTTCCAAAATTCTGTTGATAAGAAACAGAATGATAACATTTAAGCTTTTAGACTAGGAATGCTAAGTAATAGCTAAGAAAAGAATAAAAGCAGTTTTGACAAATATTAATACAATACAATTTCTTTGATGTCTTACCTAATTTAAATTTACGTTATGCATAAAAGATTTTGCTTTACGTTTTTAGTGAAGTTTGAAACAAGTCTATATGATCGCTATATGTTGATCTTTCAATTTTTTTATTTACTTACTATCTGTAAATTGCTTAGAAAAAGTAAACAGTTTAATTACTGGAGGTGACTTGCAGGAAGACATCCCAGAACAATTTGCTATGTTTCAATACTTTTGTGAGCAAACATATAATTGCAAGATTTGGATCTACATAATATATAAAATTAATACATAAATAAATTGATTTAAAAAAATTACTACGAAGTGATGGGATTGTGTCTCTTCACAAGGTTCTTAGTTAAACTACTGAGGTCATTTTCTAGTTGCATATCATATTTTTGTGAATACTTTGCAATATATTCTTTAAACAATTTGAAGATCACAAGTAATTGAATAATTACGTATATGCCACTGCATTTATAATGATGTGGAGGACTTTTGGTTGAAATCACTTTAAGATCTTCATATGGATCTCCATATTTGCCATCATAATTCAACACTAACTTAATGTTTGATATATTAACTAAGATTTTGTTATGAAAAATTAGTTGTGGTGGACTTTTACCTATTAACCACTAGATTCTACTGAGCTTGAGAGGCATTTGAGATACATACCTAGGTAATAGACAAGGTCATTTTGTTTCAATTGCTGGTGTTTACATATCTTGCTGTAGTGATGTCATTGGACATGGGGAGGTTATCCTGTATATATCTTTGATTTGCTTAATTCTTGTAAACGGATTCGTTGTCTTAGAAACAACTGCCAATCATGATGACAGGGCTCTACAATAGGTAAATGATATAATATTTGTTACAGACCCTGCATTAACCTAGAAGATGTAAATACTGTGTTAAATCCCACAAATAGCCTAGTCCAAAATGAATCTATTAGAGATTATCAAGAAAGTGATAAAGTAGAAGAGAAATTAGCTAATATAGAACCAGTTTTAGAAACTATTTTAGAGCCTAGTGTTAATGTGGAAGAAAGTGTCAAAGTTGCCATAGATTCTGAGAGTCTCGAGGGCCAAAAAGGCCCTAATACTGAAAATGACAAGTCTGAAGTACCAAATAGGTAAGTGGAATGTTTTTTTAGATATACAATGCATGCAATAGTGTACACTTTTTGTAAACAGAATGGTAATTTTCAAATTTCAGAAGTAGTTATGTGTTATACTTTGTTATTGGGTGAGAGAGAGTAAGGGAGAAATAAATCACTGTCAAGTGGTCATTCTGTAATCAAAACCTTTTAAGTATATGCTCACAATTTTTGTAGTAATTTTACAACTAGTATGTATTATAGTTTATTCATCTTCCGGGTTTGGACAGTGTCATTTGTGAGTGACCCAAAAGTGGGTTCATCTCGACGTTTCGCTACAATTGTATGTAGCTTCTTCAGGAGAACTCTTCTGAAGATGACCATGAACCCACTTTTGGGTCACTCACAAATGACACGGTCTAAACCCGGAAGACGAATAAACTATAATTCTGACTCTGGCCGTGGAAGCCTACGATTTCAACTAGTATGTACTATAAATACTGTTGGTACACATCGACCATGTTGACTTCTGATGTGGTTAAGTGTGCTCCAGGTCTTACGTGGTAGGTCAAATCCAGAAGCTATCTCTGTGATGCAAGGAAATGCTGTATGTGGTTGAGCTGCTGACCATTCTTGGATCTATTTGGTGATGCTGTGGCTGCGGCTGATTCTGCAGTATTTATTGAAGATTTTCTGGAGCACAGTCGACTTTTGGTTCCATCTTCTATATAGTTATGAATCGGCAGCACCGTGTTACTAAGAATCTTGTTATATTCTTTGGTAAGCAGATTGAGTCAGCGAAGATTTGGTTGTGGAATTTTGCTCAGCACTGGTGGTCAATGTGTTGGTGTAGATTTGATTACTCCAGCGATTATTCTCATGGTGTTTTCTCATTCTCATCTTTTTAACGTGAGCACTGTTGATCCATATTGGCGCGCAGTATTCGCAGTATTCTGGGTCTTTCGAAAGAATATCTTCAGTTTGTTCTAGTAGCTTTCTTTGGGTTAATAAAGCCCAGTCATCAGCATAGCCAAACTTTGTTGGTGTTGTTGTCGGCATGTCTGTGATGTAAAGGCTAAAAACCAGTGGTGTGGGTACCGAACCTTATGTCAGACCATTTTTATATTTTCTGTAGGTTCTTACGTCGGATTCTATAGTTACTTGAAATACTCTGTCGGTGAAGCATATTTTCTATTAATCTAGCGGTGAATTTGCAGAGTTTATAAATCTTTCTTTTCGCTAGACGGTGTCGAAAGCTGCTGACAGATCTATGAATGTAGAAGAACTCTTTAGTTTTCTTTGCAAGCCGGCTTCTATGTAAATACAGAGAGATAACACCTTGAATCCTCGATTTGATCTACAACCTGCTTGCTCAATTGGTATAGCTTTGAGGATTGTCGGGGTTATTCTGGTAAAACTTAGTCTTTTAAGTAGTTTATACATTATAGACAGTAGAGCAATTGGTCGATGACTTTTTGGGTGGTTAGCGGGTTTACCCGGTTTTCGTATTGCTATGACTTTTGAGTGTTGGATTTCCCGTGGGACTCGGCCGGTCTGAATTATGTTTGTCAAGAAATGTGATAGGTTTTTGTGTATTTCTCTGAATTGAGTATGAATTCGTGGTGGATGCTGTTGGAACCTGGAGCTTTAGCCGGGAAAACGTCTTAAAGGTCGAAATTTATTTCTTCAATTGTGAAAGGGCGAGAGTGTTCGGTCTTGATTGATTGCGATTTCAAATGTTTCTTTATACCTCGTGTGTGAGTTTTATCTCTGCTAGCTCTTGATGTCGAAAGAATATGAGATGCCACTAAGTTTGGGTTTATACCTATTAGGGGAAAATAGTTTGATATTAAATTAATAGGAGCTCTACTTGAACCCTTTTTACTCTGTAAATCTACAAGCCTTGTTCGGACTATTTCATATTTTAGGATCCTACCTCTAACAGCTCTGCTTGTAAACTTGCAAACCTCCTCTTGGTAAACCCTTTTGCATCTTTTTTTTTTGGTCCCAAAATTGACATCAGCAAAATTCAGTTTGTTCGTATGATTTTTATAGGTAAAATCTCTGCCGATTGGACTATTATCATTATTGCCATTTTTTTAGTATGTACTCTCTCTTAGAAAGAGCAAAAGTTATGTCATTAACATCTACCAAAAAACAAATTGAAAAATTAATATTTTTTTAATGCAGAATTTTTTTATCCACATTAGTGTAATTTTAAATAAAAACGATTTTTCACTTTTTTTGGTACATATTGCGAAAAAGACTTTGCGAAACACACTTTTATACCACAGGAGTATAATAAATGATGTTTTAGTAGACAAAAATAATAAAACAATCGAATATTTTTGTTGTTTCATGGTCAAGATAAAAATGTTAATATTTATTTACAAACAAACTTTTGTTTTCGCCATTTTATCGATTAACTTTAGATATGTGTTTAACGACGATAATATTTTGTTTCGTTCAAAAGGTCCTTAACTTTTAGTGTGTAGCTTACGCGGCGTCATGTGAAAAGTAGTTTGAAATACGCGAATAGTATTTGTGTAATCGTGTAATGTTGTTGGAGGATCAGCGAAAAGAATTTATTCGTCCAAAGTTCTTTCTGAGACTTTTGCGCGTAATATTATTCTAATCCTGGTTTTGTAGATCGCAATCTTAGATTTCCGGAGTTTCTCGATATCATTATTTTTTCAATTTCTTCTTCTTTTATTCTAGATTTTTCTAGAACTATTGATGACTGTTAAACGTTAGTTCAAAGTAGGTATCTTACATTGAAAATAAAACGAATGCAAGTTTTTTTCAATTTTTTTTCATCAACAGTTTTTTTTGTTTTTAGTTGATATAAAGCTTCATTCATAGTTTTGTACCTATTTTGTATCCAGTCGTTTTTTTTTTCTATTTTTCACTGGTTTTTATCTAGTGATGTGGTCATCCATATCGCTTCAGCGTGTATCTGTAAGACTCTGATTGTGGTGTCAACAAATCCGGCTTGCAAAGTTCTGTATCTTATTCCATAAAATCTTTGACTTTGATCACTTTTTTTTAAAATATATGTTCTTTTTCAGTCTTTAAGTTATATAAAAAACATTTGTATTTTTGCATTTTTACGATCTCGTCGATATTTTTTATCATTATACATATTTTTATGTAACTTAATTTGAGGAATGCTGCCAAAACCAAACTGTCCTGATTTTCCTGATCCTTCTCGGATGATATTTAGTACTTTTACTGCATTAGTTCACAACTATGTAGATAATTTGGTGAAAAATATATTCAACAAAAAGATGTTGTTTGAATTATGTATAATATTGTCATGTATGTATTTGGAATACGTTCCAGAAAGGTAAGATACTGTATATGAATTTTTTGAAATAAAGGTAAGATACTATTATTATTTGATGTACACTATAGTTTATTTTTATGAACGAGAGAGTAATTAGCATAATTTTAACTGCTACCTTCGACCACTCCATGGGCGTGCTCAAGATTAATTGAAAAATTACTTTGAATAATTGTAAAAAATAAATGAATTATTTCAGTGTTATAAAGTGTTATGTGTATGTAAACGAAAGTGACCTCTTTTATTACACACTATATAAGAACTGACTGGCCTACATTAAAAAGGGTTTTAAAAAATTCACATTTTTTTTAATTTTTAAAAATTACATAAGAGAAAAAGAGTTTTTAAAACCGTCTAAGGTATGTTATGATACCAGGCATACCAGTTCAATCGGGTTTAAATTCACAATGATATGGTGGGGATCTAAGTACTGTCATTCCACAATTTTTGGCAATTTCGTCAATTTCGTATTTTTAAAATTTTTCTTTGTGAAGGCCACACAACGAATAAAGTTCCTTTCTTATAGATCCGGGATGGTACGTAATATTTTTTGAACTCAGCCAATTCTGCAAGTCTTTTTTTAACCACTTGGTTGTGGGCAGTCCTTCTATAAGTCTGGAGTGATAACTTGCATTATCCATTACTATTACACAGTTCTTAGGAAGAAGATCTATCATTTGTTCGAACCATTCTTGAAAGACATCAGCGTTCATGTCTTCATGGTAATCACCGGTACGAGTTGATTCAAAAGTTAATCTGGGTAATCCTTATCATCTCTAACTGAGACAAGAACTTTATCCAATGTTGGAAATTCTGGTCTAAAGAAGAATTCATGCACTTTCCGTCGAAGTCCTTCTTTAAAATGATATTCTATTTGAAATTTTGGTTTCCCTGGAGCATTACGTGGCATTTGAAAACTATCACATTTTTCTTCTTTAATAACTCTGTAAATCGTAGATTTTCCAACACCAAGTGTACTGCTAACTAACTCAACGGTCTCATCAACACTTTCACATAAACGTTTGTCTGTAAATGATTTAAAACAATTAAATATTAATGTTTTTTCATTAACTGTTAAAGGACCAATTTTTCGGCGTTTACACGGCACTTCCAAATTTTCCATAACACTAGCATACACAATAAACTGCACCTTGCAACTGAAGTACCTACTTTTAGTGAACTGTTAAGAATTTTGAATGCGCCAGTCAGACCTTCCAACAAAATGGAAAAATCCACTATCACATTTTCTGTGGAATAAGTTTAGAAGGTAATTATCTAGTCAATTACTGTCGTAGATTCCTGGAATTAAAGAATTAAATATTTGATTGTTGAAACCCTTACTTCGTGGAATGCACTCATTTCAGATAAAATAAAATGTTTTATTTTATCTAAAGAATTAAACTTTATTTTGCAAATAGGTAGGTACTTATTAAACTTTTATTGGTTATATATAACCAATAAAATAAACATCTTACATTTATTGCAAATTCATTAGTACCTGTTAACCTCCATCACTCCGACACTGGCAGCCTTATTTAGGGATTAGTAACCCTCACAACTATTGTATTCTATTCTGCTCCAACCTTTATACCTGGTGGTCATACTCAATTTAAAATTGTTTTCCTATATACTTCTGTAAACTTGTTGACAAATATCTGTTTTTCATTGAGTCACCCGTATCAACAGTTTAGGGATTTGCATACATAATTTATTGTTTTATTACTCTCTCATACATAAAAATACACTATAAACTATCTTTCTTACTTGCTGTTCTGGATTTTCTTTCTTGCTCATACCAACTATTTTTCTCGATGTCATCGTTAATGGTTTCTTCAGTACCTCTGATTTCTTTAATGGGGTCATTTCTGGCTCTATCTTTTCTTGAAAGCATGAGTGATCTCGTAATTGTATTGATAGATGTAGCGACGAATATGGAGTTTACCATCGTTCAAATCTCTCCTGCGGTTTCGCTGAAAACCCCATAAAGGAGTCAAAAGAGGTCAAATCGCGCGAACTTGGTGGACAGTTCACATCACGTCTACGTGAGATGGACATTTAGCAAACTCACGTCATTTATGCTCCTTTACCTACAGCTGTGGGTCAGTTGAACGTTTGTGATTGGGTTCCAGCATAAAATTTATATTATTAATAATAAGAAATGTGTTTGTACCTATATTTAATCAATCGTCATAATCATCCAGCCTTCATTTATCACGTCTACTGTCGGACGTAGGCCTCCCTTAAACTCCTCCATTCTTTTCGATCGTTTACTCGTTATTACCAATTTTTGGCGATACTCCTGATGTCGTCAGCCCAACGTGTAGGTGGTCTTCATCTACTTCCTAAGTTTTTCTCCTTCTATTGTTACTCCTCTGTGATCCCATTTGACTTTCTTAAAGGCATACTCTAATGCCGTTATGAATAATTTCGGCGACAATGTATCTCCTTGCCTTATTCCACGTTTTATTTTTATTGGTCGGATTTTATCGTAGAGCATAGATATATCAAGCACCCATGACCCAGTAAAGGACCTGAGGAGTCAGATCAACAAAGCATCTGCACTGTCAGGATGTCTGCGGGAGATAGTCTGGTCTAATCCGTATATGCGCACAGATAGTAAAATTAGAATCTATAAGACTTGCATACGACCGATCATGACATATGGCATAGAAGTGAGCGAAGATACCAACAAAACGAAACAGATGCTAAGGGTTGCCGAAATGAAAACCCTAAGAACAATAATGGGGAAAACAAGAAGGGACAGAGTGAGAAATACAAACATTAGAGAGCAGTGCAAAATTCAAGATATTGTAAGATGGGGAAGACAGCGCAAGAGGATGTGGTACAACCATGTAAGACGAATGGATGAGAATAGACTCCCAAAAATTGCCCTAGAAAACAATCCGCCTGGTTCAAGACCCCCCGGAAGACCACCTAAAAGATGGAGGGATAGTTGGCAATCTACCTCCCAAGAAATTAACCAGAGGCAGCTTCAGAATTAAACAGATCGAAAGATCTACAAAAAGTAGAAGAAGAAGAAGAGGATTTTATCGTGTATCTTAACAGTCATACTGGCATTTTTGTAAGTATTGTAAATAAGTTCACTATACCTATGGTCAATCCTGCTGTCATTCATTGCTTCTGTAATCTATGAAAATGTATGAAAGTGGGGATAAGAGATTTCTTGTATTCTACAGATTTTTCAATGAGGGTCTTTACTGTATTGATACTGTATTGTAATAAAACTGAAAGAAAACTTAAATGTTTTGAGAGGAAAATCCTCAGAAGAATCTTTGGGCTGATCACGACATTAATAGCAACCAATACCAAATGAGAACAAATGCTAAGGTCAAGCAGATGTATAGAGCGAGCGACAGTCCAAGAGATTAAATTCCAACGTCTAAGATGGGCTGGCCATGTCCATAGACTTCCTAATAACCGCCTTTCCAAGTTAATATGGGAGAAAGCCCCCACAGGAAGCAGACCCTTAGGACGTCCACGAATGCGATAGAGAGACAATATGTGGTCAGATCTAAGAACAATGGGGATACCCACTGACCCAACTATTATAGACGACCGTTCAAAATGGAAGCAAGTTGTGCTGTCAGCCAAGACCCACTCCGGGTTGTAGTGCTACGAGAAGAAGAAGAAGAAGTCTTTACTGTATGGAAGTTATCATTGGTAACACAATTTGATCGGAATCCTGTCTGCTTTGTCGGTTGGTAGAAATCTTAATTTTTTCTCCAATCTTGATGTCACTAATCTAGTGAAGAGCTTGTATATGTGGTTCAACAGACTCTCTCTTCAATCCTGACCCCCCAGGGGGAGTGTAGTGGTCGACGTGATGTCGTGTATTGTCCGTCTCCAGAGATCTCTGTCTCTGGTCATTTCTTTTAATTCATGCATAGGTCTTTGGCATATTCCTGTAATTTGATCTATCCATCTTGTTGGGGATCTTCCTCGTGATCTTCGGCCTTCTACCTTTCCTTGTATTATGAGTCTTTCCATGTTTTCTGTGTTTGCTCTCATAACATGCCCAAAATATTTTAATTGTTTGAGATGGACTTTACTAGAGAGTCGTTGGCTAACTTTTAGCTCTCTTAACAACTTCAACAGGCTAATAGGTCTATAGTTCTCTAGGCTAGGTCCGCTCTATCTCTTTTTTTTATGTAAAAGGATGGTTATAGCATTGTTCCATTCTTTGGGCACCTTTCTTTGCTGCAAACATAGATTAAACAGTTTCCTTATTTGATTTAATGGCATATCTCCTCAATTTACGATAGCTTCTATTACAATTCCATGCTCTCCTGGAGCTTTGTTATTTTTCATTTTTCTTAACTCTTGTGGAATCTCATCTACCTTTATTTATGACATTGGTTAGGAACCTTGATTCATGATCTTTGAAATGGCTGTTTGTATTCCTGTTGATCTTCTCGTCTACTTCCATATAATTCCTTGTAGAACTCTTCGTCAAGCTGTATTAACTCGTCTCTACGTGATATTATTTCATTTTGCTCGTTTCTTAATTTATGAATTTCGAATTTCCCATTCGTTATCTTCTCTTCTTAAATCTCTCCTGATTGCCTTCGACACAGTTTTATTTATTTCTCTTAGAGTGTCTTAGGCTGCCTGCATTCTTATCGCTTTTCATTTGTCTTCTTTAATCTAGCAACCTTTCAGTATATGAACTTATGTTACTATCTGATTTTCTTTTAGGACATTGCACTCGGTGACTTTCTTGTAAGGTGTTTATGATGCAAATATTTAAGTCGTTAAGATCGTTCTCGGCGGTTTCATGCAGTAGTAGCTTAGATTCCTCATAAGTTCTGCTTGTACTTTTAGTAAACTCGTTTACGTGCTGTTTAAATAGTCACGTTCAAAATTGATTTCGCTGCATTGTAGTAGTATTTCATAGACGAGCAGCTTGCTTTTGTAGCTGGTAGATCTACCGTACCTCTTCCCTTAAGCGCTTCATTTGTGAATATTACGCATTATGACGAATTTCTTCCTTTGTTACAGAGTAATCGATGATACACCTATATTGTTGTCAACAGAAAGCTCAACGGTGGAGTTGGACCAGCTCTCCGATATATCCGTAGTTTTAACTAGTCAAAACGAAGAGATCGCTTCGAAGAAAATCCTAGAAACCGAAAACGTTAACATTCCAATTAACATTTCCGCGAACACTTCCGAAACGGAAGAGAAGAAAGTCGAAGAGACGGTCGTACAAAGCGAGGAAAGCGAAAAGAATGCCACCGAAGGAAAGACTGAAGACATTCCTTCGTTTTCCGAATGGGCCCAAAAAAGGCTGGAAGAGGTCGAGAAAAACGAACAGATTAATTCTTCTATGAAGGGAAATCAAGTTCCTAATGGTAGGTTTTTTAATACATTTTATTTAACTACAGATATTTTCATTATACAATCTGCAGGTAAATAATTATTATTATTCATGAATTTATCTGTGTACGTCATTCTGAATTAATAATCCGCATTCAGTATGAAGATAAATAACATTATTTATTTTTAATAATACTATCGTCTCAAATAATATCCTGTTTAAATCAAACAATGTGCAATATATATTTTATATAATTGTTTTTTATATAACAATTCCTTCTCGACAGTATCACAACAACGTTTCGCTTATCGTATTTCTTGTTTTTCTATGTAGATATTAAATGTCTTCGAACTTGGGTATTAGATTACTTGGTTATATGTATATACGAGGATTCTTTAATAATTATATGGATGAACAAAAGCAAATGCAGTTTTTCGGCAAAATTATTTTAGACCAGCCTTTATCAACCTTTTACCATTTGCGATTAAATTTTCCATAATTATTTTCTTCACGTTACAATAACAATATATCTTCTACTTCCTTTATGTATGTAGGCAACGGCTTCGGGCGGATGACTCAGTAGTAGTGTCAGGTAGTAGGACACTCTTTTGTCCTGGAGCTGAGAAATCGACTCCAAAGGCGGAAAAACCAATAAATTGGTCAACGGCAGAAGAATGCAGAAAGCAAGGGAAAAGCACTGCATTAAAGTTTCATGGAGTATCCCTAGAAATCGTCATGGCTTATAGAAATGACAATCAACAACCTACTAATCATAGTTCTCGGATGCCAAGATTCGACAGGAGAAGAAACAACAGTAACGACAGGGCTTCCCAGGCCGTTAGCCAGCGAAATCCCTGTTCACTAAATATATACAAATCCATCTGCAAAATCGCTACATGGAATGTAAGAAGTATGTATGAACCTGGGAAATTGAGGAATATACAGTAAGAGATGATGCGACTGGAGATCGATATATTAGGAATAAGCGATACAAGATGGGTCAGCTCTGGCGAACTCAATACAGACAATGGACGAATTTATTACTTGGAAGCAGCGATACTCAACACAGATATGGAGTTGTATGATCATCAGTGAAAAATTAACGAGATCAGTAACAGGCTTCGTTCCGATGTCCGAAAGAATTGGAAATGAAAAAATGAACTAATTCAGATTTATGCGCCAACTGCTGACAAAAATGAAGAAGAAATAGAAAACTTTTATAGCGAACTTCAAAAAACATTAAATCTCAAAGCATCTAGAGATATAACAGTGATCATGGGTGATTTCAATGCAAAAATTGGCGAAGAATATTGTTACCCTAATGTAGGACCATATGGGCTTGGTGAACGAAACGACAGAGGAGATCGCCTAATAGAATTTTGCCAGGAGCATAATGTTATAGCCGCAAATACATTTAAATTACTTAAGCGACACCTTTATACATGGAAATCGCCAATGACTAAAATAATTTGCATTATAAATTACGAATATTTCGCGAAGGTAGTTTCATTATATCCATTCATATTAAAAAATATATACGCTGATTGTGTTTTCAATTTTAAAGGACAAATAATTCTAATAAGTAAATGACTGCTCTAGCCTACCATTCTATTTGTTGTAACAGCTATAAAAATGTTAAAGATTTAAAAATAGTTCCACTTTGATAAGTCGTCGTCGGAAAAATATATAGATATAACGAACAGTACGTGACATTTATTGCTTTTACGTTTTTTTTATAACACTAATATTTTGCCTTTCGTTGTAAAGACATAAAAGAGGTGGTGATATTAATATTTTTATAGTTATTGTTGATAACGAAAGCTGTAACATAGAAAATAATAGACTCACATTAATTAACGTAACATAAAATTACTGATGGAACGTATATGCACCGTGAGAAGATTTCTAAAAAATTAACGTCATGAACGAAACGGGAGAAGGAAAAATTAAATGAGATACAAATTGAGGTTGGCTCCAAAAGAAATTTAAATGCCTTTCCAAGTATTGCTGAAAATAGCAAAGGAAACAGCCGGAATAAACAATAAAAAATGTCCGGTCAATAAAAAATGACCATCCCGAATTGATGGTACGTTAAATAGGAGGATGAGTAGAAAAAATAACTTGGACGTTTCTGATGAATTTAGGAACAACGCTAATTCCAATACCAAAACTTCCAGGAAACTGAGAGAGTGTACAGCCTTAGAAGAGTTCGAAACCGGAAAGGATAGTAGCTGCACTGATGCCCTACTGAAGGACTCAGATGAAACCGATATCTCGAATTTTGCACACACTTTGAACCAGGAAAAGTGCATTCTGAAAAGTTTGTATCCCACTTGTCGCTGAAAAAGACACTGGATTATTTGGGATTAAGCGCTCGATAGTACATATTTAGAAACCCCTTTAGCCTAAATTTTAGCTCCCTAGAGGGTTTCAGAGAAATGGGAAAAAACTGTATTTTTTCGCCAAAAAACAAAATCTGATTTTTTCAGCCATCTTGGATTAAAATTAAGCTTAGGAAAAATGTTTGAATTTTTCAAAAAAAATTTAGGTTATGTAGGTAGTTTTTGGCAAACTTCTAAATAATTATTTTTAGTGTATTTGTTTCAGTTCTTACGAATTGCGGGGTTAGGTTTGCCATTTTAGCTCCGGAAAATCCTCTGAATTCGAAAAACACATTTTTTTGTTGCGTTTCCCCATGATTCTATCACACATAAACTCAACTGTCATCATCATCTTTGGCTTTACAACCCTGGGTGGGTCTTGGGCTGTTCATGGATTAGTCTCCATTCCCCCCTATCTTTTGCCCTGGCTTTCCAATTTCTGGCCTTAGATTCCTCAAGTTATCTTCAACTGGAGTTTTAAATCTAGATCTTGGCCTATCCCTCTTCCTGGTTTACTCAACTGTGTGTCAATAAATAACGTTTTATGATATCTTTTTTTCTTATTTCTAGTAGTGCAATCAGATTTGCTATTATCAGACCAGAACATGCTCAGAATATGACAAACCCTTTTTTTATATGTTTTCCCATGTTTTTAGCTCATAACCTCAACTGAATGTGAATAAAGAACGATTTTTCATCTATTTTTTTCCTTTTTTTCTAATAACACTGACATTGCCCATTTTCAGACTGAAACCTACTCTAAATTCGAAAAAACTGCATTTTCGGTAATTTTTTTTATATTTTAAATGTAGCAAATAATAATTTTTGCCCCGCCTTTATTCCAGTGGTGATGAATTTCTATTAATAATAATGAAATTTTACAAAATTAAAAAAAAAAAATAGAAAGATATAACATTAAAGAAATCATCATCATCATAAGTGGCTCGACAATCCGTTGTGGATCTTGGTCTGCTCACAAAGAAGTCGCCTTTCATGTCGATTCCTAGCAACTTCCCTCCTTAGAATCTGTAGGTCTTCTTTCACATCATCAATCCATCTGCTTCGTGTCCGTCCTCTACTTCTTGTGCCCTCTGATTTTGAAAATGTCAATCTCTTCGTGTATTCGCGACCGACATCCTAGCATTGTGTCCAGCAATTTCACAATATCTGGATCGGTGTATAACTGATATAGGTCAAAGTATCTTCGATACTATAGCCTAGCATTTTCATTTACGGCACCAAAAATATTTATAAGAATTTTTCTCTCAGAAATACTAAGAAGTCTTTCATCATTTTGAGATAAGGTCCACGTTTCAGCCCCATATATCAAAACCGCTCTTATTAAGGTCTTGTATATATTGAGCTTTACTGCACGTTTTATACTTTTATTTTTTAAATGTTTATGGAGACCGTGAACCGTTCTGTTCGTCAATTTCGTAGCTTGTCGTGTTTGTTGCCTTTACTAGAGATAAAAAAAACAGAGGATTTTTGGACATGAAAATATTGAAATAAGTCACCACTCGAATAAGCTGGGGGGAAGGGGGGATAAAAATCGTTGACACATTTGAATGAGGTTATGTGCTTAAAATATGAGAACAAAATATATAACGAAAGATAATTTGTCATATTTTGCGCATTTTCTGGTCTGAAAATGAAAAATTTGATCGCGCTATTAGAAATAACAAAAAAATATATCAAAAACCGTTATTTATTTCATAAACCGTTGAATTTATGTGCAAAAAATGGATTTTCAAGAGCGAAAATGACAAATCTAATCCCGCCATTTAAAATGAGGAAAAAATACCCCAAAAACTATGTATTTTTAAGTTGGCTAAAAATTACCTTCATAACCTAAATTTTTTTGAAAAATTGTAATATTTTCCTGTGCTCAATTTTAAACTAAAAACTCTAAATAAAAAATCAGAAAATTTTTAGACATTAAAATGTATGTTCGGGATTTTTTAAGATTTTTTAAATCAAAGGATCGCTCAGAATTTTTTTTGACAAAACCACCTTTTTTGCGATAGGGGACCCGTGGGGCAACTTAGGCAACCTTAAAGTTTGGCTAAAGGGGTTTTCAAATATGTACTTTACACTGCCTAATCATAAATAGGAATCCAGACCAGTGCAGATCTACCATCTTAACCCGTTATAGCATTTAACTGCGCTAATAAATTTGCACGTTTTGCTGTTTGGAAAAACACATTGTAGTTTGTGAAGTGTAGTAGTGTATGGGGGCTCGGGAGACTGAGACCTCGGAAGCTCTGAAGAAGACATCAGAGAGGATATCGAAAGCTCGGCGCAATGATAATAGACGCGGTTCTACCCGGAAGACTGCAAGTTTAATATTAATTATTGTACTAGTATTAATTTTAGCTGTAGGTTCAAATATATATATATATATATATATATATATATATATATATATATATATATAATTATCAAAACATTATCGCGATCCTTTTATCCCCAAACTGCCGGACATCCGTCATGGAAATCCATACACGCCAATTTTGTTCAATTCAAAACTTACACTAAATAATAAAATCGTACATCGTAATAATATCGTATTCGTTTTAAAACTTTTTAATTCCTACGATAACGATAACGCGTCTGCGAATCAATGTTTGCGTTTAGCGGCCTTGATTGTCTAATTTAAAAGTTAAATATTATTAAGCGGCGTTTGGTCGCTAATGAGTCCGGATTTTCGTCAGTTGAATAATGCAGATGGTGTTAATTTAAATAAAAAAAGTTTGTTATTGGTAATTGTTTAGTAATTATTAGGTCAAAAAGTGGCGTTTAACGATAATTTTTCAGACTTTGTCTAATAGTTTATTATTTTTGCTGAGTAGTGGAGCAATTCATTTATTTTTGCAGTTAACCGATTAAATACTTTGTTATAAAACAGTTTATGCCTTTAATAAAGCATAGTTTCAGAAAAACGGCCTATTTAGAAATATTGTTATATTTATTCTGTTGCTTCTTCTCGTCTTCTTGCATTTTTAGGCTACTGTTTCTCATCATCCCCTTCCCCTTCTTTATAGTGCTTTAGCAACTTTCTTGTCTGGTTAGTGACCATTGCTGTTACTGTCTACATTCGGTCATTTGGATTTATATCGGGTTTTCCCTTTAATAATCTCTTACAAAACTTTTACATCACCTATTTTGTAAAAAATAGTCTTTATTCATAAAAATAATTCTATCACTTTCTAATTTTTTGATGCCGCCCTTGTAAAACGATTTATCTTCAAAATAGGCATCAGTTTTCTGCAATTACTTCGCCAATGAGAGTCTGTTTATATCGGAAAAAAGTGATAATCGCTGGGAGCTAGATCTGGACTATAGGGCGGGTGCAGAAGCAATTTAAAGCCCAATTCTTGCATTTTTATCATCAGTTTTATCAACTTGTGATCCCTGCATTGTCTTTTTTCTTTCGTTTCTGAAACAACAATTTTTTCTTCAACAAATGATTTGTCTTTACGATTTCGGTCTTCAAATGCTCCAATAAACCAATATAGTAGTTGCTATTAATTGTTTCTCCTTAATCTTACACGAGAAGAAAAAAGGAAAAAAGGACGTTTAGAAGGAAAAAAAAGAGCCATGCGAAAACGCTCTAAACGAGATTTTTAATCACCACAATAGAAAAGACTCGCGAAAATTCCACCAGAAGATAAACAGCTGCAGAAAATAATTCAAACCCAGAATAGCATGTAAAAACAGAGATGGTTCCATAATTAGTGACAAAAAATAGATATTAAACAGGTGGGCGAATCATTATGAAGAACTGCTTAGCACAAGTCGTGAAGAACACCAAATACTTTGGCTGCAATGGATGAAAACGCTCAAAAGCCGCCCGCCACTGAAGAAGAAATTAGAGAAACCATTTCAAAACTGAAAAATAACAAAGCCTCTGGTTTGAACAATCTTCCTGCCAAACTCTTTAAAAATGGTGGTGACACCCTTTTTAAACATATGCATAATTTAGTAACCGAAATCTGGCAACGGAAGGAAACGCCCGTAGACTGGAAATTAAGTGTCATGCACCCTCTTCACAAAAAGGGAGATATGATGGTGTGTGATAACATAGAGGCATCACCCTACTTAACGTGGCATATAAAGTATTGTTCAACGTATTGTACAGAAGATTGATCCCCTATGCTCAACAAATAGTTGGGAACTACCAGTGCGGTTTCCGACCCAATAAGTCAACAACGCTCAAAAACGCTTGAGTTCGGAGTCGACACCCACCACATGTTCGTTGATTTCAAAGCCGCATATGACTCAGTAAACAGACAAGAACTTCTACAGGCTATGGTGGAGTTTCAAACGCCGCTTCATCTTGTTCAACTAACGGAACTTACACTCACAGGCGTAGAGAGTGTAGTCAGAATCCAAAACGACTTTTCAAGACCCTTCCATTGTAAAAATGGACTGAGACAGGGAGATGGACTGACGTGTCTCTTATTTAACCTTGCACTAGAAACAGTAATTCAAGAGTGTCATATTAATACGAATGACACCATCTTTAATAAATCTGTACAAGTGGTCGGATATGCAGATGACATACACATTATAGACATTTTATATTAGAAAAATCCTCTTCTATATTATTTGTTTACAGTTAACATACTCTGTAGTTGGTCTTTGTTTATCAGTAATGACTTTTTATTTCAATCACGAGACCAATTTTATTTCAATCAAGCGCAGAATTCAGCAACCTTGATGTTTGTTTGCAGATTTTGTTAGTATTGTTACTATGATTAGATTTGTAATGTATTGTTTATTCTATTTATATACAGAACTCTTTGTAGGTAAAACTTTCCTATGATGGAGCCGCAGGCGAAGTATAAAATAAAATACTGATTTGCCGATACCGACACCTTACAATATTCTCATTATTACTACATTAAATGGTCCAAAAAGCTTTGCAAATATCCAAAACTTCAGAAGATAAGCTAGGACTTATCCAGCTTACCTTACTTTACCCAAAATCAAGGTGACTGTATATTGATCCCAGTAGATGGTTTATTGGTAAAAAATTAGTACAAAAGTATTTTTTATAAGCCAAAGAAAAAAAATATATGTCAATATAATTAATATAAACGTAAATATAAATATAAAACATAGATACACTGTTTTAACTTATACTGTTGACAATTACAACAAATTAAAATTGGAAGTAAAATTTGGTAGTAAAATTGGAAGAAAAGATTTTGTTTAATGTGTAACAGACACTGCATAATGTACACACAAGGTAAAGTTAAAATTTTTAAAGCTCTAGAGGAGTTTCTACAGTCTGCTCTATAACAGAGCCCAGAGTTAATACGAACACACTTTCTTTATTGTGCAAACACTTTATCAAAATGACAAGAATGGCCGCAGGAGAGAATAGTATATGTCAGATGAAAATTAAAATTACTATGATAAGCTGTTAAAATAGTTTTCCTGGAAGTCACTTGGACAAGGTTTCTGAAGAGGAAAAGTTGTCGGGAAAACTTTTTCGATAGATTAACAATATTTTTCTCAGGTTAATCGTGCATCCAAATATATCCCCAGAAACTTTCGCTTCGTTTACTCATTGTGGTAGAGCAGCGTTTTCAACACAAGTGATATTTCTTAAAGTAAAATTAACAGTTTGATTTAGAGTTGAACAAAGAGAGATGTTTGGTAATCAAGGATGTCGAATTCAAAAGGGTGATAGCTTGAATAGAAAGTAGTGTCATCGGCAAATAAAACAGTGTTAACTGTTTGATTTTGAGAGTACACAAGATCATTAATATAAATAAGAAATAATACTGGACCCAAAACCGAGTCTTGAGGGACACCAAACAACAGATATTGTTTTTGAGAATCACACTGGTTGAAGTAAACATATTGATCACGATTTAATAGATATGAATCAATTAGTTGAATAGCATCACTATGAAAATTATAATAAGACAGTTTTCTAAGCAGAATACTATGTGTGACACAATCGAAAGCCTTAGTAAGATCTAAAAACGATTCAAGAGTATCAAGATACTTTTCAAACCCTTCCAAAATATTGCTAGTGAAATGATCAATAGCTAAAGTTATGTTTTATTTTTTCGGAATGCTTAGTCGTTTATGATAAACAGTTTATTAGATTCAAAATGTAGATTAATTTAATTTTTTAAAATTCGTTCATAAATGTTTGATAAGATGGGCAACAAAGAAATGGGTCGATAATTGTTATAATCATCCATAGAGCCTTTATTCTTAGAGGTACTACCTTTGCAAGATTTAGTATTACCAGATATTGATTGGTTTATTAAAGTTGTTAGAGGCTAAACAATTATATTTTTAATTGTTTTAATAATTTTTGTGTTAAATTCACCAGGATCTTTGCTGTTACTATTTTTTATTTCTGTATTAGATCATTAAAGTTCAATGGCTGAAAACTAAAACACTGGATATTTTCGTGTGGTATACACTTTAAATAGTCATCAAGAGTTAGCTGAGGAACCTCAAGTTCATTTATTACTCTCTCAGCAGTTGAGCAGAAGTGGCTATTAAAACTATTTGCATCGAGTTTAGAATTATCAGTGAAGAAAACATTTTTATGTTTGTTATCATTAATAAGTTTTCACATAGCTTGTTGAGAGTTGCCAGAATTTTTTATAAACCTATCATTTACATTAATTTTTGCAAGCTTGATGGTTTCCCTGTACTCTTTTCTAAGTTTGGTAATGGTACTTCTAGGTGCAGCAATGGGATCGTTTTTTATTTATTGCTATAATAAATTGAAGTCTTTCACGCATTTTTCTCAAAGTGCCATTGAACCAGCTTACTGGTTTACCTGAATTATTTTTATTCAGCAATTTCGATTTTTCTGGAAAAGCAATATTTATGGAATTTAATTATCATTTTTGTACTGCAGCTTTTCTATAGATTTTTATAGGCAATATTGCTAAACGTTGAAATAGTACGTTCTATAATAACTAATCGTAGTATTGATGAGATAAACAAACAGCAGTTTTTCAAATTTTTACCCAAGTATTGTTTTTCTTTAGGTAAAACCCAGAATGCGAAGCTCCGTTGGAAAAACTACGCCTCATTAGACTGTGGAGCGAAAGTGGTAGCGGCAAATCCGGAGGCGATCAGTCCTGGAGCGATTTTGTCGCCGTCCAGCGATGAATACAAGCTGAATCCTTGCACCAGTCGTATTTGGTTCGTTGTAGAACTGTGCGAAGCTATTCAAACCAAAAAGATCGATCTTGCCAACTACGAATTGTTTTCTTCGTCACCCAAAGAGTTTACGGTATCAGTCAGTGAAAGGTAAAGACAGAGAAGAGAAATATATTTTGAATTCTTTATTAAATTTCTTTAAATTTATTTGTTAGGTTTCCAACTCGTGATTGGGCACAAGTAGGAAAATTCACCGCCGAAGACGAGAGAGATATACAAAGCTTCGATTTGGATACCGAACTGTTTGGGAAATATATTAAAGTCGAGATCAAATCCCATTATGGGTCAGAACATTATTGTCCCATCTCGCTGTTCAGGGCTTACGGAGCATCTGTATTCGAAGGTACGTAATAAGCGTACATATATTAAATTATAAATAACTTTAATTTAATGTGTAAAGAACAATTATGCGAACCAAATGACAAACTTAACTTGTGAGAAATTTTTGACAATTGACACATCCGTGACAGTTGACAATTTACAAATCATTGACATCTGACGATTGACAAATGACACCTTTATTTATCATATTTATTTGTTTAGTTCTGCAGAAGGAAGACTCTAGCGTTAATAGACCTGACGACGACGACGACGATGAAGACGAAGACGATGAAGAAAACGATCTGAATTCGTCGCAAACGGACAAAAAGAATTATTTCAGTTCCGCCACCGACGCTGTTATGTCTGTAGTGAAACGAGCAGCCCAAATTTTAGGTACGAAGTCGAACGATGACAGTCAAAAGACCAAAAACTCCAGAGCCAGTACATTGATTAATACTTGTAGTTCTCCTCGGCATATTATTAGTTGTCAGAAGTGCAATGAAACACTATATGGACAGGTAAGAAGTTTATTTGCCTACTTAGAATGGTTGACAAAACCGAAAAAAAAATTATCAGCAATCATTACATCTTTGAATACGGCACACATCGATCGGCATGATTGCTTTGTATACAATACATGAATTGTTATCGTTTTTGAATAGTCTTTTCGGAAGATCATAATTATAATCCAGAAACGAAAAAAGGTGCACAGTTTGAGTTTTCCTATAACATAATACCACGATAAAATGCATGCGTTTTGGATGTGGTATTAGTATTACACTCTAGAAATTTTCAACTTTTTTTCGTCCCAACAATTCAATTTGATGTGAATTCTTAGAAGAATAACTTATTTAAAATTTCAAATTAGAATTTTACCAAAAGTTACAAATTCAGATGGCACGGAAGCCGTGTCCGAAACGCCGGGATACGACTTGCGTAATTCGGGCCATGTCCCGGATCTTTCGGGCTAGTTGGTCACACTATGTATACAGCTATTGTACACAAATGGCTCATAGTTTTGAGTACATTTTAAGCAATTTTAATTCTGCCAGACTGAAAGTAAACGAAATACATGTCTGGCATAAAGAATTTTATATTTCCAATAGCAATTTGAATTTAGATCATTCCAGTCGTTTTTTATCTCCTTTTTTATTGCTTTTTAGGGAATTTCACATCTCCAAGACCTTACCATGCGCAAAGAATTTGATATTTCTAATAAAACATTTAGTGTTTAATATCATTCCGCTTATTTTTTAAGTTATTTTATTGGGTTTTCCTGTACAAGTACTGGGGCGCTCCGCTGTCACCACTGTACAACTATTAGGAGGTTGTATGCTCTATTGTAAAATCTGGAACTAGAGGGTGAGAAAATCTTCACCACTGTACAACGCTGTCACCACTGTAACATCCTCGATATGAACCTTAAGGATGCTTATCTCTGCGAGCGGCTGCAAGGCTTACTGGTCCCACTAGTCTGAACTGGTTGGCTCGCCTTCGTGGATTTACGAGAAGGTAGAGAAGTTTCGAGATAGGAATTTAAGGACTTCTAGGTCTCATTTCCTGTAAAGAGTTTGAGTCTATGGGCTTACTTTAGAAGCCGGATAAATGTATAAGCCGAACTTTGGTACTCTTCTGGTCTCTGAATCGACCGGAAGGAACATAAAAACCAAATTTCGAGTTTACAAATGTATTGAATATACTCTGTGGTTTACAATTAAGTTAACAAGCTGTCAGATATAATCAATAATAACTTGATCGGCGCGAAGGGAGACGAGAAGAGATCTTAGCAAGAAAGTAAAGGGGTGACAATCTGTACTACTATAATTTACTCGGGTTAGTATATAGAATTTTGTTACCTTTAGTGTATTTAGGCTCTAGATAATGATACGCCCATGAGTTCCTCTGGAAATCGGATTTCTTTTGTGGAGATATCGCGCTCTGACGCGATTTTCGAACTCCCAGTACCCGACACTTATACGGAACTATATCCCGTCGAAATATAACAATCGCGCGTAAGCCGCACCTGGTATCGCCTCTCGTCTTGACAGCCCTGCCCGAAGATAGTGACTGACCGCGTACTGGACGCTATCGCGTCCGAGCGCCCACGGAGCTGGCAATTAATGCCTTGAGCGCTCCCTCTATACTACTGCCCGATTGACCAATTTTTTTAGTTTTTATGTAACGCGAACATTCCTAGTTTTTTTTGCTGATTTTGCTGTACTGTTCCACGTGTTGGAATGTAACATGCGATGGTGTGTCGCTTCGTTGTATTAATTTTCACGAAGGTCTTCAGATTTCGTAATTCTTAAACATTCGGGCTTGTGTCAAACTAGGTCAATTGTTATCTTTGTGTAATTAAAAATGTATACGTTACTGTATTGAATTTATTCTTTATTTAATTTCTAATATATAATAATTGCTAAAATGATTATTATTCTCCCTTATGCTACTAGCCCGTATTTTTTCTATTCTTTATTTTCTTGCTATGTTTACATTACATTCCGTTCAGTTTTTCTTTTAGTTTGGGGAATTCTCGTTCTTGAAGGTTGGAAATAATTTATACCACAGGTACTGCATAAGGATTTTCTAATTTGCGATAAAAAATATATAGTTTCAATAATATCAGGTGATTTTCTTTTTATTTTTGATTAAATTAGGTGGATTTTAAGTTTCCAAGACCGGAGGTTACCCGTTACCAAAAAAATGGTTTTTTAACTCACTTCTGATTTTCATATATTTATGATTATACTTTAAGAGGATTTCGATTCTTCAACATCGGAAGTTACAGAAACATAGATAGAATCACTATAAATCATTATACAAAACGTAAATTAACCTAACCTAGCATTATGATATTTTTTTTTTGATGCAAGAAGTAAAATGATAATTCATCATCATCAGTTGGCACTACAATTCTTCGTGAGGGTTGACCTACCTCAAAACATTTTTCCGTCCTTTCCTGTCGAGTGTCTCCCTCCTAAAATCCCCCATATATCACATGTACATAATTTCCATATCATATTAACACATTTAATTACACATAACGAAAAATTTCATACATTTGATTAAATTTTCCGTATGCTCTAACAAATTTCCCTTGATTACAGATATACGAGTTGTTGAGCTGCAAAGCGGAAGAAATAAGACGAATCGTCAGCATCTCTTCGATCCAAAAAACTTTAATATCGTCGTGCATATGCAAAAAGTTTGGATACGATTTCAAAAACCATTCGGATCGGAACTATCTGATCAAGAACATCGAAGCGTTCTTTCCTGAGCCCTACATAGGTGCAATGTGTAATGAGGCAGCAATATTAGAGAATTACGGAGTACTTAATGTTAGTCAACAGTTTAATAACATCACCAAGAAGATTTCCAATGAGAAATTAATTGAAATGAACATAGAGATTCAAGAAGTGAGAGTCGTAGAGTCGGTTACATCCAGTGACATCTTGCAGAACAATACTATTACTAATGTTTCCACGGATGAGATCGCTCAGATCAAACCCACCAAGACTCTTACAGTGAATGAGACTCTTCCGAAAACCGACACTCAAGGAACACCGTCGGAAAGCGTCGCATCTGTGGAGACAGTCACCGAATTACCAGAAACCGGAGCTATTTTCCCAGAAAGTACCACCGAAGGGACTTTTGTTACTGAGGGAGATGTATCTACCGAAGGGACAGACGTCTTAGACGATCAGTTGAATAATATTATATCAGATTTGACTGCGGAAGGTCCCAACACCGTTGTAGCAAGTAGTGCCTCGGCTAATAGTCCCCAAGCTGCCAAGGAATCAATATTTTTGAGGTTGTTCAATAGAATCAAAGTAAGTACATATTAAAAAGTAATTCTTTCAACTAGTTTTTGTCTTAAGCTTGTAGAATGGTTAATATATTTTAATAGAAACAAGTTCGCCAAAAAAATTGTGCACAGTCACTCTTTCTAGTCTATAAAATACTCACAACATCTTTTATTAATTAGTCTAATATTAATTTTGGTTTTGGTTTGTTACCTCAGATATTTTGACATTTGAAACATTTCAGATTGTCCTGAGATTCTTCTCAGTTCATCTAAAGACGTTAAACCATTCCAGAAATATTTTGAAATATTCCAAATTAATTGAAGTCCTTTAATGGTCACATAAATATTGAAAAGTAATCTTGAAACATTCCAGACAGTCCTGAAGCCGTTAAAAAAGGCTCTAGCCTTTCCTCTATTGCTCCAAATTGTACTACACATTTTAAAACAATCTAGGACTATCCAGAAATATTTAAAAGTACCCTGAATCATTCTTAGAAGTCCTAAAAACAATTCAAAGGCAGTCTTACAATCTTCAAGTATGCTCCTAACTCTTTTAAAGATTCTTGAACTATTTCTGGTTACCCTGATATCTTCCAGAGGACTTAAAAGTCATAGGTAGGTCAAAATATTCCAAAATAACCTTAGGTTCTTTAAAAGTTCCTATAAGGTATTCTTTTTAGTCTGTCCAGAAATCGTCCAGATATTTTTGAACCATTCCTAGTCGCACTGAATTTCTTTAGGGCCTTTAAAACAATCAAAAAACATCTTGAAATATTCTAGACAAAGCTGTTACCTCCAGAGCCCCTTCTCGGGTGTCCTTTAGTCGTTGAGCTTTCTCCAGAAGTTCTGAAATAATGCAAGTGTCCCCTGAAATATTCCGATACACCATGAAGTACTCCATACACTTTTAAACTGTTTTCACTCACCGCTAATTTCACTAAAGGTTTCAGGAACATTCCACAGTGGCCTTGAAAGCTTCCAGTATATCTTATAGTCTCCCAGAGACTTTTGACTGAATCTTGGCTGACTCATAATTTTACTAGAAGCTCAAGAAACACTCCAAGCCAATGTTAAAAGGTTCAGACTATCCTGAAGTCCTCTAAAGTCTCCTGAACCATTCTTAGTTGCCCCGAATTTCGATATATGTTACAAAACAACTCACAAAAAGTTTTTTTAGGTGTCCAAGAAACACTCCAGGATAGTTTTAAAAGCTTGTAGCCTTTTCTGAAAACCTTTATAAACTCTTGAATCATATCCTGGTTACCTGGAATCTCTCTAGTGCCTTTAAAATATGTAAAGAGCCTTATGAAATATTACATGGCAAGCTGATGTCCTCCAGAACCTCTTAAACCATTCAAGAATGTCCTGACTTACTCTAGAGGTCCCAAAACGATTTAAAAAACTCTTGAAATAATCCAGTTTAACCATAAGTCGTGCATAGGCTTCTGATATACTTCTGATTATCTCTAATTTCACTAGACGTCACAGAAACACTTAAAAGTAGTTCCACTTTACTTCAAAATTCAAAACATTCTAGAAGTATTGTGTAACATTCCAGAATAACTTTTATAAGTTCTTTATAAGTCCCAGAATCAGTCCAGGGCAGTGTTAAGTGATTCCAGTCTGCTTTAAAGTCCTCCAGAGATTCTTAAACCATCACTGGTTGCTCTGAATGTTTACCAGGGGTCCTAAAAAATTCTAAGAGTATCAAGAAATATTTCAAAATATTTTGTAGTTTTTTGTTGGTTCCAGAAACACTCCTTGATGATTTTAGAAGATTTCAGTTTGGCTCGGAATCACCCAGAGGCTTTTAAACCATTCCATGTTACCCCTAATTTTTCTCTAAAACAATCCAAAAGTGTCTTGAAATATTTCCATCCTCCATAATGTCCTCTATATGCAGAATTTTTTTAAGAAGTTTGGCTGCTCCTAATTTCACTAAAAGTTACATAAATACTCCAGGTTTTCCATTTAATGGTTACAATCTGGCCTAAAGTGCTCCAGAGACTACTAAATCATTCCTACTTGGACCGAATTTATCTTTCAAACTTTTCTTATTTCGCCTAATTTGACTAGAGGTTTCAGAAACACTCCTAGATAGTCTTTAAATGGGCTGCTCCTCACTGAAGTTCAGTAGAAATTTGTTTAATCATTCCAAGTTGCCCCTAATTTCACCAAAGGTTCCAGAAATACTCCAGTGCAGCCTTAAGTGGTTACAATCTGCCGTGAAGTGCTCCAGAGACTTAATCCATTCTTGGTTGCAATACATTTATCTTTAAAACAATCAAAAAGTGTCTCAGAATATTTCAATCCACCATGATGTCCTTTATATGCATTTAAACCATTTCTTATTGTGCCTAATTTCACTAGAGGTTAAAGAAACACTCCTACATAGTCTTTAAATGTATGGATCCTTACTGAAGTCCGCTAGAATTTTTTGAACTATTCTTGGTTGTGCCTAATTTTACTAAAGGTTCCATGAACACTCCAGGATAGTGTTCCAGTGTGCTTTTAAGTCATTCAGAGGTTTTTTAACAATTAATGTTTGACCAGAATTTCTGTAGAGTCTATAAAGCAACCCAAAGTACTTCATAGGCATTTAATTTATCTATAAGTTCATTAAAAGTCCTAGTAACTGTGTGGGGTAATGTTTAAAAGTTCCAGTATTCCCCGAAGTGATCCAAAGGTCCTCCAGAGCCTTTAAAATTGGTTAAAATATTATAATCCACCCTGAAATCCTTCATAGCTGTTATACTATTTCTGATTTCTATAGAGGTCCTAGAAATACTCCAGTGCAGTGTTAAGAGGTTTCCCTGTACTCTCTTATATACCTTTAAAGCAATGTTAATAGATTCCAAATTACCATAAAGTCCTCCATAGGCTTGAGACCTTTCCTGATTAACCCTAATTTCGCTAGAGATCGCAGAAACATGCCAGGACAGTCTTCCAAAGACTTGACGTCTTAAAACATTCGAAGAGTAGCCTAAAATATTTCAATCTATCCTAAAATCTTTACGAGGACTTAGGAACACTCCGGGCAGTCTTGGAAGGTTTTAATATGCAATGGAGTCCTCCCAAGACTATTGTACTATTTCGTATGATCTTAAAACAAGTGATCCCCGAACTATTCACTACCACAGCAAAGTCCTCTAGAAGCTAGTAAATCATCCCTAGTTGCATTGACTTTCTCTATCTCTATCTATTAGATCTACCCAAAAATAATCTCAAATCACTTAAAGTGCTGCAGAAATCCAAGAGAAATATCAGCATAGTCTGGATAGAGTCGATATCATGTTCTACTAATTAATAATGATTTTACTTAATAGGTATGCAAGCAATTATATGTTAAACGTATTATTGGTTGCATAACTTGCATAACAAAAATCACAATTTGTAACAATGTGTACTTTCACTCTACATTTAGTTTTATATACGAAGGGTATTTAATAGATGCTTTGTTTTAGGCACTAGAACGCAACATGTCCCTCTCAAGCCAGTATCTAGAAGAATTGAGTAAGCGGTACAAGAAGCAAGTAGAAGAGATGCGCGAAGAAACACAAAAAAGAGACGAACTAAATAAACAACTAGAAGAACGTCTCGATAAGCTGACCTCAACCATCGAAAACATGGCAGCCGAACGCAGAACCTTTCTCTCCGTGGTCTACTGTCTTCTTTTTTTCGGTTTGTCTTGCCTCGGTATTTACTTTTTTTGTGGAAGACGGCCGGAGGTTTCGCGAGACCGTGAAGAATTGCCTTCGGCTGGTCGTCGTAAATCTGTGGATGAGTTGAAGAAGGAGGAGAAGAAGCGCCGGCCCAGCGATCAAGTACTTAAAATCGTTCGATACTCGTCGTTGAACGAGGATCGGAAGCCGAAGAAAAAGAAGAAGAAGATTTATCACAGCAGGTCTATTTCTTTGGGTAGCATAAAGCTAGACAAGGAAAAATGGCCGGAGGAAGGTGAAGGTAGGTCGATGATTGAGGAAGTACCTGTCGTGTTGGACGAAAGTGATAATTCGATTCTAGATGGGTGTAAATTGTCGAAAGAAGTAGAAATTGAAGGACAGAGCAAATCTAGTCAAACCGAAATTGAATGTAGAAACGAAGAAAACAATTTATCTACCTACGCGAATCTGATTTCTAATGAACCGATAAAGAAGGAGAAGAAAGGTTTGAAAAGGCTGTTGAAGAAAGTTTTTTAAGTTATGTTTTGTGTGAAGTATTTACTGTTTACTTTTACCGTAATTTATTTGATTATACTATTATTTTTTTAACGTGTGTTATTTCTTTTCCTTGCCCTGTAAAGTAGATAGTAGATCCTGATGAATCTCTCCAGCATACCGGGCTTCTCGTACTTCCGCTCGAGCTTCCCGTTGTACGCATCAGGATGAGCGCTGTGCATGTGTTGACGCATACCCAAGTTGGACTTGAATGCTCGCTCACAAATGCCGCAGAAGTTGTCATCATCTTGTCTGGGTCCTCGGCAGCGTTGCCTTCGTATGTGAGTATCCAAACCGACTTGCATGCCAAAGTTAGATGACCATCTCGTTCGATAGTAGTGGAATTAGCTGGATGAGTAGGAAACAATGACTTACTCACCACTTAGAAATTTAGGATCTACGCTAATTCTAAAACCTAAGTTTTTAGAAGACTGAAAGTGTATACAGTCTTGTACGAGTTCGAATACCCGAGAGGATAGTAATTGTATAGGTGTGCGGAATCAAGGGTCCCACAGGACCGCCCAGAGCTACTCGTCAAGTCAAATCAGAGTAAATGCTCTGAAAATTGCTAGTATTTCTGATCCAACGAATATGGATACCCAGTTCTACCAACGTGGAGGTCTATACTAGGATGATTTTTATGGTGAAGGTGACATACGACGTTCACCCAGAAGCAAATATAACTGAAGGTCGCCAACGAGAGATTTGGAAGACACAAATTTCGCAAAACACTTCAGCCACTTACGTCTGGCGAACGACAGACCAAGCAATGCCACTTTGCAGAGCCAACATTTTTGGTCCCGGTGCCCTTAAAAATGTTTGGTCCACCGATTTTCTCTAGATCGCTTGACATACTCTAGTAATATTCATAACTATTTTCAAATCCTTTAAAAGCACCAGAAACGTTAAAGAGTAATCTTGAAACACTCCAAAGTTTTACAGATGTCCTGAAAACTTTTCAGACGTGTGTAAGTCCTCCATAAAAATTTGAAACATTGGTTTTCATATGTTTTTTAAATCCTTGTCGAAGTCCTAAAAACATTCCATGCTAATTTTGAGATATTCGAGGTTGTTCTCAGATGCCTCTAAGCTTTGTACCTGAACTTTTTCAACGACTTTGACGTCCTCCAGAGACCTTTGAAACATTTGAATTTCTTTGCCACTAAAATATTGTAGAATGCAGAAATTAGTTAGAAGAATGCGAAATCTTTTGGACCGCACTGTAATCCTTCAGAGACTCTATGTATACAAGTCCTAAAACCATTTCATACTAATTTTGAAACGTTCGAGGTTGCTTTAAAATCTACAGACTTAAAACTTTTAAAAACAAATTTAGAAATTCAAAGAACCTTTCTGCTAAGAGCTTAAGTTGTTCCGAAACCTTTTAGATACGCCTATAACATTCCAAGAAGAACCTGCAATCTTCTAGAGGCACTTTATATATTTCAGCTGCTTTCGATGATCTCTAGTGGTCTTGAAACATGACAGAAATCTTCAGAACTACTTCAACATCCTTTAGCAGTTCTCGAAACATTACTGAATTGGCCTAAAACGTTCTGAACTCTTTCAGATGCCCCCTAAAATATTCCAAGACGAACATGAAATCTTTCGGGCTATACTGAAATCCTCCAAAGGCTGTTTATATTTTCTAAGTGCTCTTAATTATCTTTAGAGGTCTTAAAACAGTCCAGGAATAATTAGAAATAGTAAGAATTACCTTTATACACCTTTTAGACCTCCCAAAAATACTCTAGACCCATTTTGAATCAAACGAGATTATCTTAAGTCTATAACATTTCAAACAGGATTGCAGAGCACCAATCTAGAGACTTTGCTGGTTCTTCAAGAAACATCTCACGAGATATTTGGACTTCCGAAGATCTTGAGTAGATCTTTACACAATTTAAATATTTACCTATAGCGTTTACTCCTTTGTTTTTACAAAACTCACAGTATTTTCCGGTTTGTGTAGTTTCCGTCATGTTCCACATGATTTTAATATTGGCATCTGCTCTAAAATTTTCTACAGGCATCTGGTCTCTTTCTGAATATCCTGGAGACTTGATTTCCCCGGATTTATGTAGAACCCTTAATATTCCAGGAGCGTAATATGTTCTAAACTATCTTGCTGTTCTTTAGAGGTATAAGGAGCACTTAAGCTAAAGCTTAAATAGAATTGCCTGTCAAATAACGCAAGTTGAAATTGTAGTAACTAGCACAGATGTATATATGTACTGATGTATGTATATACAACTTAATTTATCGATTTTTACTTAAGATTTTATTACAATTAGTATACAAACATTGTTTACATTGGTAACAATAACCCCCTCTGTGGCTCAGTGGTAAGAACGCCTGCCTTTAAACCTAAAGGTCGTGAGTTCGAATCCCACCTGGGTGGAAATTTTCGTTTATTAAAAAAAATTAATAAATGAAAATAATTTCTATCCTTGTGTGATCGGTACACACCGGAGGGACCACAGACGTTCGGATACAATTAGCGTCTCTGAGCAAAGACAATGACGTCGACTTTGCTAAGTATCAAGACAATTACTCTACACACACATACACACTACACCTCAAATTGTAAGATTGGCGAATGGATTTAGTGTCCTGAGTCATTTAAACACAAACAAACAACAACAATTGGTAACAATATGTATGTACACAATGCACAATTTACTCGATTTCGAATTTTATTGTATTATTAGTTGCATAGCTCCGACACATCATATTGCATAACTATCAACAGTACCAAAACCACATCTACGTTTCCTGAAGTAAAGATGATTTTTGATACCTAATACAGTTAGCGCAAAGAAAGTAGCAAATAAACAGCCGTTTTTGTGACATTCTTTGATTCACCTTTAGTATTTAAAATCAAGTAGCGATCTTACATAAGAATAGAATAGAAATATGCTTTATTGTCACTGAAAATTGTACAATTTTATGAATAAAGTTTACAAAAAATCAGAAAAATAATAATTAGGTATTTAAAATTTACTAATATTACATAAATCGTAAATATCACAAAATAAAACATAATAAAATATACATACAATCCATTGCAAAATTTAACTAAATTGCAAATTGCGTAATAAAACTTTACGAACTAATAAGTTGTTGCATGTGATATCCCAGAATTTTCTATATCCATCAGGTTACAAACGACACCGTGATCCAACGTATGAATAAAGGTCTGGAAATTATGCGTATCGTGAAAATCAAAAAGATGACATAGGTACTTACTTAATACATGTGATGCGCAATGAGAAGTATCAGGGTTTGTGATGTTTTGACTTATTTGTAACTAAAGGAAATGCCTTATTGAAAATACAGACGAGCCTTTTAAAAAAATCACCGAAATTATAGTCTACGTCCACAGAGGGAAAGTGCCACTGCCAAAGTGAACAAATTTTGAAATTTATGAAAGTTCTGAGTGGAAATCTAAACGTTGAGTTTTTGAGGATTGTTAACTTTGCATATAAGTACTGCTTCATGATCAGATACTGCATTAATCATTGTAGAGCAAACATAAGGTCTGAGAAATCTGAGACAATATAATCAATAATGGTAGATATTGATTTAGTAATTCCTGTAGGAGAATTAACGTGGATTCTGAAACCATAAGATTCGAATATATTGACCAAGGATAATGGGGTCAAGCAACAGCGTAATTAATGTTCAAGTCACCGCATTGCTGGCAACGCTGCGGTGAAGCCAGCAGGTTAAACATAAATAAACAGTGAAAATTTTTCCAAAATTACAGGTGAAATTAAAGTTTTAAAACATAAAAATCGGTAGTAACTAATTATACTGGTGTAGAAAGTGCGAAGTGTAAAATTGACACTAGAAAAACCAATCTGGTACGATTAAACATCCATAAAATAATATCCAAAAAAAAGTAAGGTTATCTGCAATTCAGTCTGTGATAAGAAAACGGCCCACGTCTCAACACCCGACAGTGTTGCCAAACTTCAAAAAAATAATATAGAAAGGGAAAACAAAGTACCTATTACGGAATATATAAAAACTAAGTAGCTTTAAGAGGACAATTGATCTCCGAAGAGTCGATCTGGATTAATTCTCCTATCGTAAAGCAAAAAAAAAATAATAATTACATAAAAACCATTAAATACATAAAAATATTTTGTATAATACAATATGATAAATAAGTAGCTAAAATGGAATGGCAAAATCAAATTCCAAATTCAGATAATATTCAGAGTTATTCTCCCTCATTAAAAGATGCGGCATATGAGAATCCACCTATAAGAAAGGCCGGTCTGGCACGAACTCCTCCACCATCGCTTAAAAATAGAACTAACAGTATTTCCTCAAATGAAATCAGGATAAACGCCACTAATAGCTCATCTCATTGTGCCTCAATGTCGACATGTTTGCCAGAAAATAAACCAGATCTAGAACAACAAACAGAAGCCACTGAACAAACTCGTCAGCAAGATGATGTTACAGGTTGGACTTTAATTAAAAATAAGAAGCGTCAGCGATCAGAAGATAGCCCTCCGCATAAAATTAAAAAGCAAACTACCATTCAGGATTATTGGCTGCAGAAACCTACGCCAACGACCAATAGATATAGCCCTTTAACTACTGATGATATACAAGAAGAAAATAGAAATGCCGAAACCAATAAACCTCCACCAATATTTATTCAGAATGTCGAATATATAAAACCGCTACGCGAACTGCTTGATGAAAAAATACCAAATCTATATACCATTAAATGCCTTAGGGATAACCAAATTAAACTCCAAGTAGATTCACCTGAAAACTACTCGGATATTATTAAAAAGCTTAACAGCAAAAAAAAACGCAGTTTCACACATATCAAATAAAACAGGACCGTGGATTTCGAGTGGTTATTCGCAATATTCACCCCTCAACAGAACCTTATGAGATTAAAAGGGCACTTGAAGAACTAGGACATTCAGTCAAAAATATCTCCAACATAAATCGAATAAAGGATAAAAAGCAACTACCACTTTTCCACGTAGAATTGGTTGCTAATGCAAACCAAATCCAACACGAATTAAAGATGTGAAGTGTACAAATTGCCAAGAAAATCATCCTGCATCCTACAGAGGCTGTTTGGTCTACAAAGAGCTCCAAAGAAAACAATTTCCAAAATTGAGGGAGAAAATACAATCTCATTGCCCGCCAAGTTCCTCAAATACTCGTCGCCCATCTGTAACATATGCAAACGCTGTGGAGGGACCAAATCATACAACCGCATCTGTCTCAAATACTACACAGGAAAAACTGAATATGATGGTCCAAAAACTTATGGATAGAATGGATAAAATGTTCGACCTTCTCATAACGATGTTATCAAAACTTAATGTTCAACCCCAAAATTAAAATTGGATATTGGAACGCAAACGGCCTCACAAACCATAGTGAGGAGATTAAGTCATTTATAAAGTTACACAATCTTGATATCATGATGGTCTCTGAAGCTCATATGACAAACAAGAGCCATTTTAGTATGCCAGATTTTTGCACCTATGTCACACCACACCCAATGGGAAAAGGTCATGGTGGAACTGCGTTAATTATTAGAAGTAATATAAAACATCACGAAATAAATAAAGTGTGTGAAATCAACATTCAGGCAACCTCTATATCTGTAGAACTCAGTAAAGGGCACATAACGATGTCAGTTGCGTATTGTCCCCCTGGTAAAATAATTAAAGAGGACCATTTCTCTAGTTATTTCAAAGGGCTTGGTCATCGCTTTATCGCAGTAGGTGATTTTAACGCAAAACATACAAGATGGGGTTCAAGACTGATAACAACTCGCGGAAGAGAACTTATTAAAAGTTTAAACGAAAATAACTTGACTTCAATTTCTACTGGGCAGCCAACCTACTGGCCTACAGATAGAAATACAATACCCGATCTCATCGATTTTGGTATCATAAAAGGAATAAGTAACAACTTTTTAGACATTAAACCTTCTTTTGACCTTTCGTCGGACCATTCTCCCATATTTATTGATGTGATGGAACATGTATATAATACAAATAAACACCCCACGTTTTCAAATCATAAAACAAATTGGAGTCTGTTCAGATTTAATATTCAAAACACAATTAACTTAAATCTTCCTCTTAAAACAAGTGAAAATATTGAGGAAGCAGTTCATCACCTTACATCAATCATTCAACAGGCAGCTTGGAGAGCAACTCCAGATCTAAATCGGGGTAATAACTGTGAACCATATCCACATCATATAAAAATCTTAATAAACGAAAAGAGAAAACTAAGAAAACAGTGGCAAACTTCCAGATCTCCTGAGAACAAAACTGAACTGAATAGGGCTACTCGTTTGCTTAAAAGAGAATTACACAAATACAAAGATCAGGGCATAAATGAATTTCTTGAAAGTCTTACTGGGACGGATGACACAAACTACTCTATTTGGAAACTCTCTAGGAAACTTAAACATCAGATTAAGCATGACGGTCCCATTAGAAATAAAGACGGTGGTTGGGCCAAGGCCGATGAAGATAAAGTACAAGCATTCGCTAATCATCTCAGCCAAGTTTTTCAACCACACTCCAGGACTATCTCAAAGGAAGAAGAAGAATTCATTCACAAGAACTTAGATGCACCCTACCAGATGTCACCTCCTATAGAAAATATCAAAATTAACGAAATAAAAGAGTTAGTTAAACATCTCAATACTAAAAAAGCTCCAGGGTATGATTTAATATCGGGAAAAATCTGCAAAAATTTACCCGAAGAAGGATTTCGGTTGCTTATGTACATATCTAACGCTATACTAAAGTTAGGCTATTTTCCGTTTCAATGGAAAATGGCACAAATTATTCTAATACCGAAACCAAATAAAGATCCACAAGAACTATCATCCTATCGTCCAATCAGTTTGTTTCCCATTATCTCTAAGATATTTGAGAGGATGAATTCTATAATCGACAGACAAAAGTTAATACCTGATTATCAGTTTGGATTTGGATTCAGGCAACAACATGGAACAATTGAGCAGGTACATAGAGTTGCCAAAGTAGCAAGAGATGCGATTGAAAAGAAAGAATACTGCACTGCAGCCTTTTTGGATGTCTCACAAGCATTTGATAAAGTATGGCATAAGGGGCTGCTATCTAAAATAAAAACTCACTTTCCTCATCCTCTGTATGCTCTTCTGAGATCCTATCTTACCAATCGATATTTCCAGGTCAGATGCAATGAAGCAGCATCAAACATATCTCCAATTCTATCGGGAGTACCTCAGGGTAGTATATTGGGACCAACTTTATACTTACTCTATACGGCAGATATTCCCACGAGTAAACAGCACAATCGCTACCTATGCAGATGATACTGTGATAATGGTTTCTAGCTCGGTTCCTGTTACAGCCTGTCAAAATTTACAAATTCATTGAAATGAACTAGAGAAATGGTTAAAACTGTGGCGAATTAAAGTAAATGGCAGCAAATCAGCACATATAACATTTACTTTACGCAAAGAGAGTGTACCATCTGTGTGCATAAACAATACCATAATACCCAAAAAAAGTGATGTTAAATACTTGGGAATACATTTTGACAGCCGACTAAATTGGGGAAAGCACATCTGGACAAAGCGACTGCAACTAGGATTAATATACAGGAAAATGTATTGGTTCATGAATAAAAAATCCAAACTAAGTCTACATAATAAATTATTACTGTATAAATGTGTTCTAAAGCCAGTTTGGACCTACGGTATACAGATATGGGGTACAGCATCTAATTCTCACTTACTGAAACTTTAACGTTTCCAATCTAAAGTTTTGAGACATATTACCAATGCACCGTGGTACGTGCCCAATTATGTGATACACCGAGATCTTCTGATCCAAAATATTAAAGACACCGTTGTCTTACTCAGTGGCACTTACAAAAATAGACTACTAAACCATCCAAATACACTTGCCCAAGACCTACTTAAGCGACCAAGGAGAGGAAGACTAAAACGACGTGATCCTCTAGACCTCTCTATACCTTTATATACATAAACGTATATATCATTTTATAGCTACAACTGATACTACATTTATACCTACAACTTATAATTGTGTGTGTTGTTATAATTTTAACTATTACTATTTTTTTTTTAATATGTTAGTAAAATGTCTTTGTAAATTGTTATTTATATTTCAAATATTTATATATATTAGAAATTTATCTTAAGGATTTCTGTCACTGGACAGCTCTCCCCTATGTTAATTACTTGATAAACATATTGATTATTGTTTTTTTTTATTTGTAGAAACAGATTTCAATAAATAAAGGATGAAAAAAAAAGTCACCGCATTGAATCTCTCTGCTTTTATTACGTCGTCTTACAATATCAATAGGTTCTGAAAAAATAGTTCCGTGAAAGAATCAGGTGATTTATAAATGCAAAAAATGTATAGATTAAGATTCTTGTTATAAACCAATGAAAACTCTGTTCACGTATTGTTTATAAGTAAAAAATTACGATCGATCTTTTGCATATTTGGTTTATAACATATTGCTATCACCAAATTTATCAATACCACTTATTAGCTGTAATGGGAAAATCGTTTTAACAATGCAGTACTTGAAAACAATTTTTTAATCTAAATAAAATGATGATAGAGATATAAATAGAAACTAAACTATTAATAAATCAATGTTTATTTAATAAATATGTATATATCACAATAAAATTTGTATTCATTAACAATCAAATTGCTATATTTATAAAGCATTCAACGTTTAATATCTTCATGACTTACTTGCTAAAATTTTTTGTTTTCGTCGCTTTGATTTTGTAGATAGAATTTATCATAATTTATTAAACAAGTAATATTTCCAGCATTTTTGTATTTTTCAAGATGTTTATGCTTTTTTCATCACGAACAGCTTTCTTTTCTTTAACATATTTCTGGTTTTACTTGGCCGTCTTCGAATTTTTCTTGTTTTATCGTATATACATGCTTCTATTTCCTTTTTATTATTTTACTTTGGAATTTTTAATATTATGTGATGTAGAAGCTAGTTTGATTTCATATGGTACATCCTGGGTAACCCTAAACTAATTAGAAAATACTGGCAGTCAAAAACTTGCAGCAAAAATTGAAGTTAGCTGTCGTCAATTCAACAAGGTGGTTCGAAAGAAACATCATTTATTTTGATAACCTGCTACTTAATCGTAAAAATATTGAAATATCGTTTAGAGTGACTTACAGATAAAATATTATGCTTTAAAGGATGCATAACTAGAAATAATAATCAGAAAACAATATCTAGAAATTCAACTTTAAAGTAGTGGATTCTTTGCCGAGGTCCCAACATTTACTTCCTCTCTTTTTTCAGTGATGTTATTAAGACACCAACAAAATATTACAGGCATATAGAACAGAAAACTACCAGTACAAAATTATACGGAATTAAACAGACAAAAAAAAAAACAAAATCAATTGAGTAACACTAGATTAACATCTGACTTCTCATTACAAGACAAAATCTGGTTCACACTAAGTAGTATTAAGTAGACTAGTACACAAATCGGTTAAATTATTATCTCTCTCATGCAACTACGGAAATACATAACAGAAATATCACAAAGTATCATACTAAGGTAAGTTCCAAAATTGTTTTACTTTTAGCACAAAAGTAAATACATTATATAATTGATTAAGAATGAAATAGGAAGTTTAACAGTACAATGACTTGATTAACGTTCATTATATACATAAAATGAAAGTTATATAGAAACCACCAGACGAACTCGTTGATCCAAAGTTTTACCCATTCAATATATCTTGTATCTCCTGCAAACTTTTGCCTTTGGTTTCAATAACGCATAACCAACAAAAGATCACTGATGCCAAACAACAAGCCGTCGAAAAACCAAACACATTGCCCAAACCAAATGTTGCCACAGCTAATCCAAAGTATTTGGTAACTACAAATGACACCAACCAACAAACCGTCGAGACAAAAGCGCTGGCGAATGATCTATATTTCGTCGAAAACATTTCCGACAACACTGTCCATGGAAGAGGACCATATCCGAAATTAAAAGAGATTATGAAGGTGGTAAGCGTTAATACTGGTACCCAGGAGAAGTGTTCTACGTTGTAACCAGCAGTTCTTATGTAAAGGTAGATGGCTAGAGGACCAATAGATGCTATCATACCTAGAGCTGAGACTTGGAGACATAACTTGCGACCGAACCTGAAAAGTCAAAAAGATATGATGGTTCTGACGAAAAAATTATTTATATCTTACCTGTCTACTACAAACGGTACTATAAAGCTGCTGACGAACTGTACACCTACCAGAATGATTGTACAGATGTGTGGAGGGAGGGTACTTCCAGCTGTTTCAAAAATAGTCTGACTGTAGAACATTATGGCGTTTATTCCTGACAATTGCTGAAATACAAGCAGACCTACAGAGGCAACAGTACCTTTCAAAAGTGCTTTTGAACTAAAATAAAAAAAACATACAGTTTGTTTTCATACAGTCACAACAATTAAAATAATATAAAAAATAAATTTTACCTACCTTAACATTTCCATAATATTTACTTTGTCATCCTCCTTATTTTCGTACTCTGTTTGCATTTCCATAACATCCTTTTTAATTACTTCTGCAGTTCTTCCTAAATTCTGCAATGCCACTTCTGCTTTATCACATTTCTTTTTCTTGACTAAATATATAGGACTTTCTTCGGCCAAAAGACTGAAAACAATTAGGAAGACCAAAGGAGGAATTGCTAAAACTAAAAGAATATCGTATTTAGATATGATGAGATGATATATTAATAATACTTTTAACATAATAATGCTTGATATTCGACAGCTTACCAATATAAATTCAAAATAAATATTTTTCATGGATCTTATCTAAAAATTGGCAGAATATGATCTATTTCATTTATTTTTTAATTATTTTTCTGTATGTTTTTTTCCAATGTTTTTAATACATTTCAGTGGTTAACTGTCTAGCATATTCTGATTATACGTTCTTGTTCATACCACAAAAGAAATTATTTTAATTGGTTATTTTGTAAGGTGTCGAAAAGCTGATACGTTACATTTTGTCTAACTTTCTTTTATTTTACTAAATTTTGTATAACGCCCAGTATTTTCATTTAATTTTTCTTAAGAAATTATTTTATACTGTTTTCCATCATATTTTTAAGCACCCAAAATCTTTTAACTACACGCATAATCCGCTTAGGATTAACCAACGTTTTATTGGAGTCAGTGGCGGCTCGTGGCTTGAGAGACAAGGTCGGCAAGGTATTTTTTGTCTCCACAGATAGGTATACCGTCCAATAAAGACTTCAATCATCATAGGAGATTTTTTGTTTTCTTGTTTTTTTGTTTTTTTTTGTTTTTTCCTTTAAATTTAGAACCTAAACATGTTTATAAATTAACTCTAGTCTACGTTGTTTGGAAGTAGCAAAATGGGTAATAACGTCATCGTAAAATTTATTAGAGTTTTGAAGAGATTTTAAAAGTTTTTTTTTTATATTGACATTTGAGACAAGCTTGACATTCTCTCTTGTTTCATGGTATTTCGACAATAATTTTTGATTCTTTTGAGGCAAGAGAAATCTCGTTCATTTGAGGCAGACGTTGGTGGTAATGAGAGAATTAATGACAATAATGTTGGATATAGATAAATAAATTTGAATATTTTCTAGCAGTGTCATCTATTGGCTACTTTACTAGTTGAATAATGTATCACTTTCCTTTTTTAGGGTAGTAGCAAAATTACAGTCATAGAGTAAACACGTGTTTCATTTTGTTCATCAAATCTCCATTTTTGTTCCAGAACTTTATAATTTCTCAATAAATAATTTATTAATTTCGGTACGTTGTTGTAATGAATTGCAATATATAAAATTATTCATATCTTGTAACTTATCCCATCTTCCGAAAATATTTGGATCAGCATATAAAACTTTTAATTCATTTTCTAATTTTATTTTATTAAAGAATGATGGATAATTTTTAATCAACCTGTTTCAATATCTTGGAAATTCTTTGGCGTAACTTTTAAATTTTGAATCGTCAAAGAGGTCAAAAATTTTCAAATCTTCAAAATTCGAAAAACTAGTATCTATTTGCATAATAATAGTATCCAAAATTTCAAAATATAGGTACTCGTTTTTTGAGATCTGTTTCTTTGTCATGCCTTTATCTTTTTTTGGGGGGTTCGGAAATATCAAGCGAGTCCAAAACGTCACTGCGTATATACTGAAAATTACTATCATTACGAAAATCTGACTGAGATTTTGCACCAGTCTTGTTATTCTATTTTTGGAATGAATAATGTCAGTTAACTGATTTTGAACAACATTGAATATCAAATCGGTTTGGGTAAACACTTTCTTAAAACTATTTAAAAGTATGTTAAAAGAGTAATCATTTAATAAAGTTTTCAAACCGATTGCTTTATGGATCGAGATATCATCACTTTCAAAATCGTCACATTCAATAATAAAATCAAAAACTTTCAAAAGCTGTTCACGAAAATCTGCTACAGTGAAAACTAACCGAGATTTAAAATTCCATCGCGTCTGACAAACTGTTGGCATTTTTTTCGAAACAAACCGTTCTAAAACATTAGTCCGTTTAGGCAAGCTTGAGAAAAATGAAGTAAATCCGCTTAAACTGGCAAAAAAAAAAGACGCCATTCTTTAATTTTTTTACATGTATCTTGCAAAACTAAATTCATTCTATGCGCATGACAATGAGTAAATAAAGCTTGCGGTGCAATAGTTTTAACTTTTGCCTGGAGACCATTTAATTCACCAGACATCACGGCAGCGCCGTTATAAGTTTGCCCTACCAATTTATTTTTGATATCAAAAATTTAATTTTCTTTAAAACACCAAAAATATGTTCTGCCTTATGGCTTTTACTCACGTCTGTAAAACCTAAAAACCTCTCATAGATATTACCACGTAACGCGTATCGAACAACAATTGACAATTGTCAATGACATGATATGTCGGTAGTTTCATCTACTTCTAGTGAAAAGCAAATGATTTCCTGAATCTCAGATTCAATAATGTTACTCAAAATGTAACTAATTGATTATTTTAATTCATTCTGGATTGTTTTAGATACACCGCTAAATGTCTTCGAATCAGAAAGTAAATTAGAAAATTCCAAATCGTATTTCTTAAACATTTTTATTAGTTCTCTATAATTACCTTGATTTAACGAATGCTCTGATTCATCGTGTCCCCTAAAAGATAATTCCTGACAACTTAAAAAAATTACAATATCAATTAAACGACGTAAAACTGCGTGATTATTTTTTACAATTTCGTTATGTTTAATAGCATTTTCACGTTGGGCATTATCTAATGAAACATGGATATTTTGTTTTCCAAATAAATCTAATTTAATCTGGCTGTAAGTATGATCTTTCGAAATAACACGTTTATGTAAAGCCCTAAATAATTCCTTTAAATTATCGTAACCAGATTCACACCACGGATTTTGATGTTTGCCCCTATTTGTCGAAACTAAAATGCAAGGCCAACAAAAAAGTTTGTTTTTTATTTCACTCCAGTAAGCCATGAGTACTTGCTGTACCAATTATCTGAAAATGATCTATTACTTCCCTTACCCGCACTAATATTTATAAGTCGGGACATTTTAGGCAAAGGACGCCCCTTATTTTTAATAACAATTTGTTCTTCGTATCGAATTGATGAAAACCCATTATGCAAAATATAATTTACAATATCAGACTTATCAATACTTACAGTTTCTCCCATGGCTTGCATTTTTTAGGTGTTTACTGAATTTGTTTACACTTTAATTAAAAAAAAACTTCTAATATGTCAAAAAACCCTTTAATCGTTAACTATTTACGGCAGACGTAACGTATCACAGTATTACTTTAGAAAATAAAAATAAATCACAAAAAGATAGGCTAGTTCGTGCACTGAATATCACTTCAGTTTACTACATATATAAAAATGAAATAACATTTCGTCCCACGCTCGCAATGTACAGTTCGCGACCAATCACCAATCCAAATAAAACATCGGCAAATTTAAATCTGCCGGACTTAGTAATTAAGTTCATATGGAAAGAAATGTATATTTGGTTGCTAATCAACCAATATTCCGTTGATTTTTACAAGTAAAGTCAAGGTTGGGATCGGCTAGCCGAAAAAACAAAACGTGCCTTTTCAAGAATTCATAGGCGGATGGATGTCTCCGATATCGGAACATTTATTTGAAAAGTGTCTACGCAAGGATCACTTAACGCTTAGATTGGACGAATTCTTTTAAAAACCATGAATAAAATTTAGTCTGGTCGAATTCTTTTAAAAACCATGAATAAAATTTAGTCTTTATTATCTCACAGATATTTTTTTAGTTCACAAAAACAAATGACATCAACTGATTACCTGCCACAATTATTTATTGAAATACTGATTAAATTAAATATTAAAATAATCTATAATATCTATAAAGATGTGGGTCGGCACTGCCGACCCTGCCGACCCTGACCGGCCGCCACTGACTGGAGTGCAGACAAAGATCCCGTTACGTTTTGTTTTAAAACAACATCAATACACCATATTGTTCTGAAGCTATTTTCTTATGGCATTTTAAATTAATTACTATTTAACTTATAAGATAGTTCATTCGATTACATGAAATCAACTTTAACTTGAGAATATCCATCAGAAAAAAATCATAGCATGTAATTCGTCTTTAAAAAGACAAACATATGACATGATGACAGTAAAATTCTCCCGTTAGTGATTCCATAGTAAATTATGAGGGAAAAACCAGGAAAAAACCTCATACTACTATCCCGACATGGTAAGTATTTGGTCGTGCATTTAGTTTACCTTCAATAAACACCAAACTCTGATTTTATATGTTTCGTTATTTAAAAAACATAAACGATGTATCCTCTATATGTTACTGACTTACTAATACTGGTATTTTCTTATTAATAACTTCCTCTTTCAATATTGGTAACCAGATGCTACTACATTCTGCCGAGGAATTTGCGACACAATTGGCCTCACGATTCATTTTTCAGAGTCTTTTGAGGTTATGTAGTAAAAACATGGAGAAAACGGGGTTTTTTGGGTTTTTCAGACAATTGTGAGATAAAACTAATGAATTATAGTTTATTCGTCTTCCGGGTTTGGACCGTGTCATTTGTGAGTGACCCAAAAGTGGGTTCATCTCGACGTTTCGCTACAATTGTATGTAGCTTCTTCAGGAGAACAAAAAAGAAAAAAGAAAGAAAGAAGAAAACAAAAGAACAGGAAGATGGGTAGTTAGCAACGGTAACTCAGTTACTCAACGCAACCAGAGGCGAATACTAACTACCAAGATGGGCATTTGGTCACAGTAACTCAACTACTCAACGCAGCCAGAGGTGAAAACCAAATGCCAGGACAGGGATTCACGTCCAACAGCTCAGAACACTAACGCGTCGAGAGGCGGGGAGTGAATCCTTCAGGATTCACTCCCCGCGTTAGTGTTCTGAGCTGTTGGACGTGAATCCCTGTCCTGGCATTTGGTTTTCACCTCTGGCTGCGTTGAGTAGTTGAGTTACTGTGACCAAATGCCCATCTTGGTAGTTAGTATTCGCCTCTGGTTGCGTTGAGTAACTGAGTTACCGTTGCTAACTACCCATCTTCCTGTTCTTTTGTTTTCTTTTTTCCTTTTCTTTTTTCTTTTTTGTTCTCCTGAAGAAGCTACATACAATTGTAGCGAAACGTCGAGATGAACCCACTTTTGGGTCACTCACAAATGACACGGTCCAAACCCGGAAGACGAATAAACTATAATTCTGACTCTGGCCGTGGAAGCCTACGATTTCATAAAACTAATGCTTTGAATAGCTCATTTTGATTGTAAAGGGAAAGATACATGTGAAAATGTAAATGATCATTCATTTAGACACTGAATTTAGAGATTATATAGCGAAAGCTTAAAAACAACGCCAAAAAAACGGAGTTTTTCGTTTTTTTTAGCATGCCGCAGGAAAGAAATAATAGTTTTAATAGCTTGTTTCGATAATAAAGGTAAGAATACATATAAAAATATAAATTATCATTAATTTAGGTGTATGTTGTTAAGGTTATGAGTCATCCATCTCACTAAAAAACCTAATTTATGTTTATTTTATTAATAATTTTTTTATTTTATAAAAACTGACATTATTATATCTTATGGCAGTATAAATAAAGTTTTTGTTTTCTATGTAATACTTATTTGTTTTTGTTTTGTTCCTGGGCCCATACTATTTATTGTTAAGGGGTGGGGGTGCTTCAGAAAAATGCCAAAAAAGCAGTTTTTCCGATTTTTAGACATTTTCCACGTTGAAAATGATAATAATACCTATGCCATTTGAAAGAACCGGAAAAAACCCATAAAAAAACATTGTTTTAAAGTTGGCCAAAAATTTCCGACAACCTAAAATATTACTTTTTTCAAATTTTCAAATATTTCAAATTTCAAATATTTTTCCTTGGCTCAATTTTCAAACTAAAAATCTGAAAAAAATCAGGTAGTATTGTATTATTAAACTACGCTTTCATGAATTTTTTCAGATTTTTTTGTAGCAATACAGCGACTAAAAAAAAATTTTTTTTGTAATACGTTTTTTCCCATAGCGAACCCCCAGAGACACCTAGGGACTTGAAAATTTAACTGAGTGAGTTTTTAATTATGTCCTTTCGAATGGACAGGCTCAAAACTGAATCGAGCATGGTGCAATTTTGACCACCTTATCCCGCTAGCCTTGAAAAAAAAAATCTTTAAAAAAATTTCAACAGATTTTCGGCTGGGCTACTTCTTGAATATTATTTTGGGGTATCTCATGAAATTGATTATGCAAAAAATCTCATGGGAATATTTTTCCGAACGAGTTCGTATCGTACATACAGTTCGTATCAAAAATAATCAACAAACAAACAAAAATCTATGAGATACTCCCTTCAGTTTGTTTGTTTCTTTAGAAATTTTTTTCTTTTACCTATTGAACAGACGTATTTATTATAGAAAAAGCAACTTTTTACGATGATTGTTTTGCTTACCAGTGTTAAAAAACTGTATTGACTTGAATGGTCCTAGGCACACTGAAAAAAGCAGACCAATTGAGCAGACAGCTCCCGTTAAACAGCTGATCAATCCCCTGTTTCTACTTTCAGCTATCTCTCCAATATACATGGGAACCAGTGTAAATACTCCACCGACACCAATTCCCGATAAAAATCTAAAAATGCACGATTATAGTATAAAAAAACTTATATTTATTAAATATACTAATTATAAAAATAGCCGGTATTGCAAAAAATTACCGTATCCATAAAAAGGGAAGTCAAGCCTATATTTATCATGTGATGTAAAAATATTATTACAACGGTCTGAATTTACGTGGTGGTTAAAAGGATTCATAGAATTTACTTGTATTGATGCCGCATAGGTTATGAAAGTTGTTTTCTTCCAAATTTCAAAACGATATCTCTAGCTTCACAGTGTAAACTTTTAGTAAGGCTAGTATAAAATACACCTAGTATGGTTCACAGAGCACTATTTTTTATTCAATCGAATTTAACCAATCAAATATGGTTTTGCTGAACCGTAAATAATACAAGATGACCTGATCAGTGACTTCTACATAAGAATCAAGAGTTTTGCATCTGCTACCCACGTATTTTGTGCAACAGTTTTTATAATGTTAAGTGAAGATTGACAAGTACTTTTTTTGGAAAATAACATAGCCTTTGATTTCGTGGTTCTTCTTCTTCTTCTTCATGTGCCTTGTCCGTTCCGAACGTTGGCAATCAACATGGCTATTCTGACTTTGTTTACGGCAGATCTGAATAGTTCAGCAGATGACAATCCGAACCATTGCCGCAAGTTTTTTAGCCACGAGTGTCTTCTTCTCCCTGGACCCCTTCTGCTGTCTATTTTCCCTTGAACGATCAGCTGTAGTACTCTATATTTATTATATCTCATAACGTGACCCAAGTATTCCAACTTTCTTTTCTTTATACTTATTCCTACCTCTCTCTTTACCTATCCGGCGTAGTACCTCTTCGTTGGTCACGTGCTTAGTCCAGGATATACGTAATATACGTCGGTAAGCCCACATTTCGAAGGCCTCTACTTTTTTTATCAATGTTGCGGTCATTGTCCACGCCTCCATTCCATATAACAAAACCGGGAATTCATAACATTTCAGAAGTCGAATTTTGAGAGATAGGGTGAGGCTTTTAGTGGTGAAAATTTGCTTCATGCTAGTGAACGATGCTCTTGTCTTTTCTACCCTTATACGTATTTCCTTCGCTTGATCCCAATTTGAGTTAACTGTTGTTCCCAAGTAGATGTACGGATCCACGTGTTCAATTCTTTCATTGTCTAATATCAGTTGCTGTGGTGGTTGTTGGGTTTTGCTTACTAACATCCATTTGGTTTTTGTGATATTTAGTCTGAGTCCGTATTATGCACTTGTTTTTTGTATCTTACTCATTAGGCAACTCAGTTCCCCCATGCTACTTGCTAGAATCACAGTGTCATCAGCATACCTTATGTTATTAATTATTTCTCCATTTATCTTTATGCCTTCTGTGCTTTCCTCCAGCGCTGTCTTAAATACTTCTTCTGAGTATATATTAAAGAGAATTGGAGACAAGATACAGCCCTGTGGCTGTATCTTGTGTATTTCGTGGTTGATAATAAAACCAATAGATTTTGTTCATGATTCGAGATTCCATAGTACTTAAATACTTAAATTAGATCCTTGAGGAATTCCGTTTGTTTGAGTTTTTATATTGGATAAAGTTCGTTAAGTCGTACAGTTTGATGAGATGAGAAGTACAATTTTTGTTGAGTTCAATTTTCATTGTAAAAACTGCAATATTAGGTATTTTAAACAGGTATACAAGATTTTCGCGAAGGCGACAGATTGAATAAATATAAAATTACACAAAACTCTTATTGTAGCTATTGCTCATCATAATCTGCTATAATATTCTTTGTAAAAGTCATATATAATAACATCGTATTCTAGGACTGGTTGAAAGGAATAGTAGATCAACGTTGTCATAATATAAAGAGAGACAAATTGCTCATTGATTTCCTAGCGGAGCATTCAGTAGCGTATCGTTCACACTGTTGCAGTGAATTTTAAAAATAAATCTTAGAATATTATGATATGAGACTTATATTTAATTTAATTAAATTAATTTTTTTTAATCATATTTTTTGTTTGTTACAAAAATTAATTATCGAAAAGGCAGGTAGAGAGATTTACCCTACTGTTATTTCAATGAAAGGTTTGTTTTCATTGGAATTACTTATATTTTAAATATAGGTACTCATTTACATGAATAGGAAAATCCAATTCTGAATTTGCAAATTCTTTTATTGTATTTTCCATTTCCTTCACTCTGCCTATTCTCCTTAACACTTCTGCATTCGTGACTCTATCTACCCATGGAATCCTTAACAATCTTCTAAATGTCCACATTTTAAACGCGTTAAGTCGATTTATTGTATTTCAGTTTAATATCCATGATTCAGCTCCATAGTAGAGTACACTGTGTACATAACATTTAATTAGCCTTATTCTGAGGGCCAATGTCAGATCTTTGCTGCATAAAGTCTTTTTCATTTTCACAAAGTTGACACGTGCTTTTTCAATTCTTACTCTTATTCTGACTCTAAAGTACAGTACAAGTGGATTATTTTTACCAATTCCAAGCACCACACAAGTTTTCGCACTAAAAAAGAGTAACTACTGGGACACAAATTAAACTAGAGTCCAAATCCATTTGGAGGGTTAGCTGGTTTGTGATTCGATTGGCATTATTTTTGTGTCATTAGCATAGAGCGATATTTTACTTGAAACATAATAAGGAACATCGTTACATCCTTAAGAAGCAGAGGTTCAAGGACAGAGCCCTGAGACACATCTCTTTCCACTAACCTGTCTTGTAAAAAGATTCACCAACTCTAACTTTGTAATGTTGATATGTCAGGAAATTATCTATCCAACAAAGTAAAGTACCGTGAACTCCGAAATGTTCTAGTTTATATAGAAGTCTGTGCTTAGGTATAGGTTTAGGAGATTGGTTAGAGTAGGCAACCAGGAACAAATTTATGTCGTTGTGTTGGAATAAAATGTTTCTGGAGAAGGAATTTGATCATCTCATCGGAAATAATGACTTCCACACGTTTGGCAACTACTAGCAGCAAGCTAATCATACGATAATTGTTGGAATTGAGTTTTTAAATAAGCTATTAATAACTTTGTTAGTTTTTGACAGTAATCGAAAAAGTTCAAAATGTGGCTTAGTTCATTACAATCAATTGTAGCTTAATTGCAGAGAAACGAATATTTTTTACTTTTAACTAGAGGTTATTGCCGTTTATTATTATGCATAATTGTATTTAAATTAATTTTGGCTAAAAATATACTTCCTCGATTTTATATTTATATTAACTTTTTCCATAATAAATCAGTACCAGATATGAGATGGCCAAATAAATCAGTACCAGCTCAGATACTTTTCAAATTCATATCTATAAACCAAAAACAAAAATTAAACAAAATGAAAGCCGTATACGTTTTCTTCTTTTTGGTTGTTTTGGTTGCCTACATTTCAGCTGCTCCACAAAAAGAAAGGAGTTCAAATAAAGAACTTAGAAGTATTTTGTTGGAATACTTAAAGACCGATAAAGAATTTTTGCAAACTTTAAAAGCAGAAAAGGGTAAGTATGGCAAATAAAACAATTGAGTACATTAGAAACAGTTAAGATTGTACGAATTTAATATTGTTTTTGTTTTAGGAAAATTTCGAGACTCTTGTGATGACTTTTTCTGTGACCTATATTGTTTCCTCTTTGAGGGTAAAGATGGAGGACGTTGTAATAAATTTGGCGATTGTTGCTGCGATCCTTTCTAAATGTTAATTTAAAAAATAATAATAAAATGTTTACGCAGACCTATATAATTTTTTTATTATACTTAATCAGATAAAACAAATCTTTTTATCTTCATCCTATCCTTCAGATACGTCCTAAGCGTCTTACAGGACAAGAAACTTTCAACTTATCAATTCATCATAATTGATGAGAACCCTATAATCCTAAACGTTTTAACATTTGCTCGCACATTTTGACATCAATTGCTACAACTCCTGGACATCTTCTTATACAGCAATTCTTAATTTTGCTAAGTATTAGCATTTCTGCCAGATATATTTATACTTTTTCTTTCTTTTTGACTGTTCAAATCTATCTGTGACACAACACTCCTCGCCTACTTTCATTTTATTCATCCCGCCCTGGCTCTATTAATATCTAAAGTACGTATAAATACTAAACTGTATGACAGCTTTGAAATCATCAGTAGACTAAAACAGGGTGATGCGATGGAGTGATCTCCACTACTTTTTAACCTTAGAATTAGAGAAAGCCATGAGGTCGGCTGAAATAAAAACAGAATTGCTATTGGTTCAAGGTCCCAAGCTGTTACTCGCATATGCAGATGCCATAGATCTCGTTGGAGACTCCACTCTATCCTCGAAAGACATCTTCAACAAGGTGGAAGGAGCAACAAGTGAAGTAGAGCTGAAGATTAATAGACGAAAACTAAGACGAAATATATGTGTATAAATATAAGGACACGAAGAGGCAGAATAGGACAAAATGTGACGGTCACAACCTTCAATTTTGAAAGAGTACAACGTTTTAGGTATCTGGGGGCCGTAATAACAGCTGACAACGATGTCACTAAAGAAATAAAAGACAGAATCCAATTTGCAAACCGCTGTCTATTTGCACTAGATAAACTCATAAAATCAAAAAATCTCACAAGAAGTTCAAAGATCAAAATCTATAAATCCATCGTCAGACCTGTAATAACATACGCATGCGAAACGTGGACCATGACCAAAGCAAACGAAGGAAAGCTCAGACGCTTTGAACAAAAAATACTTCACCTCACGGACGTCACCATGATATCACCACTAACGAGTATAAGATCAGATCCAATATCGAATTAAAAGCACTTTACAACGACGCCGATATTGTCCAAGAAATTAAATCATAGCGACTAAGATGGGCAGGCCACGTGCACAGGCAAAAGATCACTCGGACGTCCCAAAATACGATGGAGAGATAACATCCAAGCATATCTCCGGAAAATGAACATTTCATTTGATCCTAGGTTAATGGAAGACCGAACAAATTGGAAAAAAGTTGTAC